AAAATGAAGAGGACTTTAACTGCTTTGTAAATCGATTATTACAAAAAATGAAATTGTGACTTTATAGAGCTCCTTAAACCTATTTAATTTTCTATGAATAAAACCAATATCGTTTATATTATAAGTACTGCTTAGTATGCATTTCTTTATTTTTGAAAATGGGAATTTGGCAACAATCGATATGGCGACATATCGGGCTGGACAATATCGATATCGGAAAAATCGATGTTGAAAATCCTACTCCCAATTGAATAGAATATTAGACCTGCTTATCAACTCAACTAATTGTGTTATTTCCATCTTGTATATTTACTGAGGATTAAAACGGCATGCTGGTCGATTCAAGCGGCTTGTAAAACCTAAGAGCTAAATAATTCACACAAGCTGTTGACTAAACCTACTTTAGTATTTTTCCATACACTTTGTAGATGAAAAATAAATTACAACTTAAATATCGATGTCGCGGGTAAAGTATCGATGTCTTCGATATATCGACCTTGGAATATCGATTCAAAAAATCGATTATCGTGCGATGAAATATCGATATTCAGAAAGATCGATACGATATCGAAAATTCCTATCCCGTACTCGGTTCTCCGACTATTTATTTATTTATTTATTTTTTACAGTCTGTTAGACTTATATTGCAACAAAGATTTAACATTCTTATAATTAGATTTTAGATTTAAAATTTAAATATTAAATATTAAATACAAAATACAAAATGCTCTACAGAAATTTTTAAATAACATTATTTCTTTATCACTGCAATTATTTTATGTCAATATAAACGCATGCAATTTTCTGGAAGTTATGTAGACGGTTGGAAAGGCCGAGTTTCCAATCCGCGCTATTCTTTTTGGGTTACTCCATTTATTGAAATCTCCTGGGTGGTCAGAAAGGCCGAGTTTCCGATCCACCCAGTCGTGCTTTCGTGACGGTTGACGGTTGGAAAGGCCGAGTTTCCAATCCGCTCGTTTATTGTTTATTATGTAAGGGTCTAGGTAGTCGGAAAGGCCGAGTTTCCGATCCGCCTAGTCTCGATATCTTGGTGGTTGGAAAAGCCTAGTTTCCAATCCACGCTATTGTTGATACACACTATCACGATTGAGAGAATACAAAGGTTGCGCCGATCTCGGACCGCTATTCCTCTCTTAACGAATTTGGCAGAATCGTTGTTTGCATGACGTCACACTGGTGCAACTTGTTTACGTTTTCCTTGCAACATTTTTTCTTCTTCTTCCATTCTTGCTCACGTTTTGGCATTTCTCTCTCGCAATTGCACCAGTGTGACGTCACACACAAGTTATTCTCAAAAATCCTCTCCGATCGGCGCAATCTTGTATTCTATCATTCTTGCATCACTATCTTGTAGGCTGCGTTCTACAATAGTCAAATAGCAGCCGCTTGAAAAGAGTGATAGTATCACAATTTTTTATAGCCTCTGGTAATTCATTGAAGCACTTTAAGCCTTTAAAGAAAATATTTTTTTTGTCCATTTCAGTTCTATACTTCGGGAGTCTGAGGCTGTTATTCTCTCTCAACAAATATGTATGCGTCTCATTTATATATCGGAGATTATCGCTAAGATAATCCGGCACACAAATTGTACACAAATTTCATAGCGTGGTAAAAAACTTGTTGCTTCACGCTTAACCAATTCAAGGTTTCAAGCATACATCTTGTTGGTGTGTCATACGGTTTGTTGAGGATGAATCTCATCGCTCGGTTTTGCATTTTTTGCAGCTTATCTACATGGGAGTCCCCCGCTAGGAAGAAAATCGTGGGGCAGTATATAAAGTGCGGTTCTACTATTGACCTGTACACCAACGTTTTATATCTTCTTCCCAAGTACTTACACGATCTCTTTATAAGGCCAATTTTTTTAGCAATCTTGTTGACTGTATACTCAACGTGCTCATCAAACTTTAGTTTGTTGTCTATGTATATTCCTAGGTCCTTGACAATTTTCACCTCTTCGATATTTTCATCTTTGATTTTTAATTCACGGCTTATGGAGTCAGCATTTGCCGCTCTGGAAAATACCATAAAGTTAGTCTTTTTCACATTCAGTTTGAGTTTATTTGAACACAGCCATTGATACAAAGAATTAAGATCTTCTTGCATTTTGACATTCGCATTTGGTAGTTCCCTATCACTGATCGTTAACAAGGCATCATCCGCAAAGAGTTTTATTTTACAATGTTTGAGAGAACTTTTAATATCGTTTATATATATATTAAAGAGTAGGGGTGCCAAAACTGAGCCCTGTGGTAATCCGATGTCTACGGCTATCTTACTAGACATCTTTGAATTAACTATTGTTTGTTGCCTACGATTACATAGAAAGCTTCTAAACCAGTCAAGCTCAGTGTTTTTTATACCAATGTTATCCAACATTCGGACTATTGAGAGGACAAAAAAGAGAGTAAATAAGGTCCTCTCTCTGTCAGAAGTTACCAGTTTTAGTCCGAAGATTTTTTGCTGGTAAATTCTGGTAAATGTGTCAGACGATCAGCTATAGTGTGTTTGGCTAATTTGTGTTGAAAAGTATTTAATTACTTGTTTTAAGTGGATTCTAATGAATTTGAAAGAAGTTTTGGTTATTTACATGTGTTAGTTGAGTGTGTTTACATACAAAATAAGCAAAAATTTACAACCAAAATTTGGAGGTTTTGTTGAAGTTGACAGAAGTTACAATTTTTTACTAGAACGTGATCCCGTACTTTTTATTGTTACTCTCTCGCTCTGAGCGAATTTTCCTTTTTTGACAGTTTTACTAGTTTTAGTCCGAGGAATACGGGATTGCACCTACTATTTTTTTACCTAATACCGGGCTTTACCCGGTTGAAGTATTGAATTCAATTCTGCTTTCAAGCGGAAGAGGGGTTGAGAAGAAAAGGGAAGAGTACATATGCGTCTGTACCGTCAAGTGGTTTCAAGTTTCTTGCTTTTTTATTGACATATCCGTCATTTCCCAATTAAAGAACCAAAAACTAGAATTCAACAAAATTTAAACGTGTAAAAGCAAATAGAAAACGCAAAAGAGAATGAACCAGAATTGCTTTAAAGTAAAGTAAGTGGGTGTAACAAAATTTAAAAAAAGAACTAGTTTGAGTATCTTTTTGGAACCATACTATGGTGTAATTGATCGAAGAGAAAGATCAAAGTTACTGAAAATCGCTATATAACAATTAGTTAATTCTTCAGGAACTAAATAAAACAAAAAAGTTTATGGCTGAATTTCTTTATTCATTCTGAACGTTTGGAATAAACTTTTTTGTTTATTTATTCTTTAGAACGTTCCTGATGATATGTTGACTTATATTTCAAACGCATTCTGTTTATTCCGGCTGTGAAATTGGATTATCCGGAATGTATAAAGAAACGCAGCCTATATAAATAGCTTCGTCAATGCATTTTAAAATTATCCGATACTATCGATAGTTTCAATGCAAACTAGCGAAAACATCGAATGGGATGACTATCGATAGTGGAGCTGTAAAACTATCGATGGGACTATTATAGTATCGATAGTTTTGAGCTATCTTGAACCATCGATAGTTTTTCGCACTATCGATACTATCGAAATTTTTTGTTAAGCTTATCGACTTCACTTAGGTTCTTGAAATTTATTAAGCATATTTCGTAGATATCAGGGTATTGTCCAGTGAAATTTAGGCCATACAAGTTAAATAGTTTCTTTTTATATCGAATAAAACTTATGGCAAAATATATTTAGCTGATTTTCGCTTTGTTTTTGTCGAAATTCGTTTCTTGTATTTATAAAACTACTCATAATACCATGAACTGGACTTAAAACCAAGAAGCAGGGAACTTTTGTAAAGAGTTGATCCAATTTGAGCCAAAATAAGTACTTGTATTTGTTCAAGTGTTGATGAAACCAAGATTGTGCATTTCAATACATATTTTTTTAATGCCCATTTATTCTTCGGTCTATTTTGAGCTAGTTCAAGTTTCACCTTACGCAAAAACTGTTCATTGGGACATACATACGTAGGCCCAGACGATTCATTTACTTACTCCCAAAGTTCAGAAACATTTTTTGCACTTGTGAATAAAGTAAAGTAAAAGTTTAGTGGTAAGGTTTACTTGGCCGCAAATGTATATTGATTGAAACTGTGGGCATATTTTCAATCACTAATATATTCGTATGTTAGTGATAAAATTTGCAAAACGTAGAAATTAACGATTTAAAATTCAAAAGAAATATAAGAAAATTTCCCCTACTTTGCAAGTTTTTGCGTTCGAACACGTCAAAACATGAAAATTCGTAAAAACTTTTACTGGATTTTACTGGAAAGGGGGGTAAACAAACGCAACTATTGTCTTGACAGCATTGTCCAATGTAAACACGCCATTAGGGAACGCAACTGTAAATTCACCACGACGCGATACAGCAACAAGGGCCAGGGGTGTTTTTGTACGACAGGCAACTTTCCAGCGGCAGCGCTCAGAGCGTTCCGGTAGCAATTTTATTTTGTAACAAATTTATCATCAAACGGTGGCTTTAAAATTTCTTTTATATTTATTATTTATAGTAGATCCATTTATTTGCGTTTATTCGTAAAATTAATGCAATAAACGAAACTTAGGCTTTCTGCACATTGGTCGTCCAATCATAGTTGCTTCATCGTCACAATCATGTTGCAACGATTACGTGACAACTACACTTCCGCACACTTGATTGTGATATTTCAATTCATTTGGCGTCTAAAAATTCACTTGGAGCAGATATTTTCTGGATGATATTTTCGCGAAATATTTACAAAAACCTGCAATTTTTAAAATATGGACCGTGCTGCAACAATTCTAGACATATTTTTTCAGTAATATCTCTTCTTTTCTTTTCCTGAAATGTAATTTGTGCACTCACTCAGAGGCTTTTTACAATTTCGTCATATTTTATAGGTTAAACTCTCATAATTTTGAATGTTATTGCAATTATCCACTTTTTAATACTTTCCACAGATTTTATGCAAAAGTATTTTTAATGCAAATATTAATTTTTCCTAATAAAATGTAAACAAACAATGCGTGCACAACGATTAGCAAACGAGAGTGCCGTACTTATCCGTTTCTGCATATTCTACGATTTGCCGATAACTAGCCAATAACGACAGTGTGCAGATCTCCTTTGAAATGCATGTACTCGACTCAAAATTGCAGGGCAAGACGATAATGCAACTATGATTGGACGACAAGTGTGCATATAGCCTTATTCTAAAAAATTCTAAAGTTTATTTCATAAGAGCTGCAGAGCAACCGTGCGTTTAAGAAATGTGCTACCTAAATTTTCACCTCTGGGAACTTTATCCCCATAAGGGAGTTCACCACAGTTTTTTTAATGGACATACTGAGCTGTTGAGATACAGCTGATTTTGTTAGATTGCCGCATTAAAAAAAAAGAAGGAGACAAGCCAAAGACATAACCAGTAAACCTTCGGTGAATTTGGCGGCTGCCTTCCTCGGGGATGAATATGCTAGGGATGAAATTATTGGTACACACGCCTTCCAAGCACGCAGGGTTGCTTTTAACAAACAAAAAGTAATTACCTTCAAATAGTTTCAAAAAGTATAGTGTAAAACGAAATTTATTGAATAATTCCACATAAAATGGTATACATCATGGAACTTTTCTACTAATTGACATGAAATTACTATCTCAACGCTCGGAGCGCTGCCACTGAGGGCTTTTGCCAACTGATAAAAAAAAGAGAAAATTTGGAAATACCAAACAAAAATTTTGAGATTTCTCCTTGTGAATAAGAATGCTATAGTTTTTACCTAGCTCGTGTGACTACGCAAAATTTTGACAGCTTGTAAATATGTATACACATAAAGTTGTTGGCGGTAATAGAGTCAAAATCAAAATGGAGAAATGAACAAAAAGCGTACGTTAGTTGTCAGTTATAAAATAAATCAAATTTATTTGCGAATATTTGTTTATTCTATTTATTGAAAGGCAACTACGCGAAAAAGCTTGTGTTAATTATATTGATAACAGAACCTGGCAGCTCGCACGTTGTCTAAATTCTCAAGTAACATAAAATCCACAAAAGAATACATTGCTTGTATTACCATCAATACGCCATGTATAAATTTTAACAAGACACAAAAATAGAGCTTTCGCACGAGCGTTTGTTTGGTTTTTCAACACCATTTATAATTTTCTTTTAATAAAATCACGATTTGTCAAATGCTTAAATTTATTTATCTAATAATAATGCAGCACACACCCCTGATATCTAAGAAAAAGTCTGAGGAAGGCAATTAAATAGCAGCACACAACCCCGTGCCTTCCTGAGGAGTGAATATAACTACAACAACAACGACTACTACAACAACAACCCAAAAAGGTTGGTTACTGTCTATACTGTGGAGACAAGTTTTATCTGACGCCGTGCATTCCACGGATTAAAGTTAATGTAAAATTTAGTAAAATGCTTAAAGCAATTAACACTTCACAAACTTTCGCACAGCTAGTTGAGACAAAGTGTGCTGAAATATTCTTTCGCAAAGAGAATTGCTTCACGATAATCTGCTCGTATTGCGAACTGAAGACTTTTAATTTTGAAGAGTATTTATTGCATTTCAAAAATGCACATCTCGCATCAGAGAAAACTTCAAACAGTGAATCTTTTGAGGATGCAGTTGAGATAAAAATTGAAAATTTCGATGAAGAGCCGAAAAGTACACCAGAAGGATGTAAGGAATTAGATTCCCACGCAGAATTCGAGTCTTTAACTTCTAACTCGCCTATTGATGTCAACGTTAAAAAAGAGGTCGATATTTTGGAAGCCGATAATGAGTGGCAAAGTGATAGGGAAACTGATTACAGTAGTGACGAGCAAAGCGATCAGGATCCAGAGTTTGTTCCAAGGGTATGTACTGGTTTGAACATTCAGATATACATATGTAACTCATTTGTATTAACAAAGTTATATCAGTAGATATTGCATAGCGAACCAAGGAAAAGCAACAATCCAACCGAGTACACTTGTAAAGAATGCAGTAAAAGCTATAAATTTGCTAAGAATTTGGACCGTCATATAAAAAAATGCCACTGTAATGATCCTGAATATTGTTGCGTACGGTGTAAGCAGAGCTTTAGCGATGAGCGGTCGTTGAACGAACACCAGCGCAAAAGGCATGCCGGTTTTCCCTGCGAAGAATGCGACAAAGTCTATTCGAGTAAAGAAGGTTTGACCATTCATCGATATAACCATACAGGGGTGCGTAGTTTCCATTGTACGAAGGAAGATTGCGGCAAGTCTTTTTTTAATCCAAAACAGCTATCTATGCACACTCGTTATGTTCATAAATTGGAAAAAAATTTTGTTTGCGAAGTATGTGGATACCGTACTAAGGGGCAGCCCTCACTGATCGTACACAAACGAACACACACTGGAGAAAAACCATTTATTTGCAAATTATGTGGCAAAGGTTTTGCTTCAAAGTCATTGTTGTATGAACATGAGCCTTCGCATTCGACTGAGCGACCACACGTATGCGATGTCTGCGGAAGGGCCTTTGCACGACCCAAAGCTCTCTATCATCATAAACATCTACATCTGGACGTAAAGAAATTCAAATGCACGCTCTGTGGACGCGCATATGCCCAAATGGCTGGTTTGGCAGGTCATATGCGGCAGCATAAAACGGAAAAGTCTGTAGAGCTCTACCCAGAAATCCACCGGGCAACGGTAAAGCTCCGCTCAGAATTGCAGCGGACGTCGGTAAAGCGCTGTCAAAATTAAAACTCGCAAAGACATATGGAATGGCTCATAATTGCGGCGGCAGCGTTTTTACCGCCGACGTTTTTCGGTTGAGTTAAATTTATTTCTATTTTTACCGGTCAGCGAGGGCGGCACAATGTTTATTGAGTATTGATTGTGATAATTTTTATTATTTTCACAAATTTGGCACTCTTTTCATCAATTTATATTTCCAGCAAATCTACATACACGTACGTACCATGATACAATAATTTTTAGAAGGTAAAAAAAAAAAAAAAAAATTATTGTATCATGCGTACGTACCGAAAAAATATTTTATTTCAATGATAATTTTCAAGTCAAAATGACTACTGACGAGTTTCACTGCGGCAACTATACACCTGTTTACTTACCGCCGACCGCTTTGTCGTCGTCCGCTATAATTCTGGGCAGAGCTTAATGGGTGACGCAAGAAATAGTTGAGAGTTTTCTTGTTTATCTTTAAATATTTAAATATAATTTCATGTTCTAATTTTGCATATTTGTATAAGATACATAAATATTTATGTTTACATACATACATATGTACATAAGGTTTGTTCTTGTAGAAATTATCCAGTAACATACCAGCAACAGTCCAGTAACTTAATTTCTGAGAATTCGTTCTCATAGGAAAAAGTACAATAACGCAAAACCAGTAATAATTTGCAAGCTGACTAATTTGTTGTTTATTCGCAACAAGCATCAGGTCAAGGTAATGTGCCTTGGCACCAATTCCAAACCGCACTAGAATAAAAGTGACATCTAACCGTGGTTGCGCACATTTGGCATTACAAGCTGCTGAGGTTTAGAAATAAAAGGACTGATGCTTTGTATTTTGACGTTTTGGAATGCAGCCTATAATTTATTGTTCTGACTTTCTTTAACATACATTTCAATTTCTTTATAGTACTAGCTGTCTGGTTTCTTAAATCGACTCTGGTGCCAATTGCATTCTGATTGCGAATACAATTCTTTCAGACGAATACAATTTTTTCAGTGCAGTTCAAATCATTGGAATTAACTAAATTAATGGATCAACAACTATTTACTTTCCTTCTTTAATAAAAAATCGCTCGTGTTTATAAATTTTTAAATTTAACGAACTTGTTTATTCAAATTATGGTCGACAAAAATGCAACCATGTGCCACAATCATGTTTTTCGTGATTGCAAATTCTTGTCAGCTAAAATTTTTCCCACAAGAATTTCATGAACGAAAGACACAAGATCACGTAAGAACAAGAGAGTGAAAAATGTCGATTTTTTTAGCGGGTTCTACGCCATCTTGTTTCACTGGAAAACTAGCGAAAAGTAAACAAAGCAAAGAAAACAACGAAAACCAAAATTAGCGAAAATTATTGTCAGCCACTTTAAACGCACAATTTAGGTAAAATGATGCAACAAAATGCTTTAAAATTTGTTGTCATGTTAAATTAACTCTTCTGTGTAAAATAAACAAACGCCCAGCTGACGAACCCGCGTTCGCAAACTTTTTTCTCAAAACCAGTTACAAATACAACGTCGCGTTCTTACGTGATCTTCTTGTTGTTGTTGTTGTTGTTGTTGTAGCGGCACTACTAAGCCCCGCCTGTTTCGGGTCAACTTTTAATCATTATCGTCAAGCTCAACTAACGGTAGGCCCAGGAAACGAGCTGTTTCGATGGGGTCGGACCAAAGGGAGAGGGGTGTTAGTTGAGTCGGATTGAGCTGGCATGTGAAGAGGTGGTTGGTGTCGTGGGGGGAGTCTCCACTTGCCGGGCACTCATTTGGGATGTTTGGGTCGAGTCTGGACAGGTAGCTGTTTAGGCGGCTACAATATCCAGACCGTAACTGAGCCAGAGTAACGCGGGTCTATCTAGGTAGTTGAAGCTCCGTTACGTGATCTTGTATTTTTGGTTCATGCAAGAATTTGCAACTTCTCTCCAGGAGAACGTCACTTTGCGCTCAGTTTTTGAGTGATGAATAATTTTTTGGTCTACAACAGCGATGGGCAGAGAGAGCTTTTACTCTGCGGGCGCCTATACAAAATTTATAGAAAGCTTAAAAGAGCTTTTGCCCGCGAGCAAGGCAGTGCCCATCGCCGGTCTACCAGAACGCTTTTGATCGTGTATCCCACAATCTACGTCTTAAGAAGCTAAATCTTTTTGGTTTTCACTCAAGTTTTTTGTCTTGGATCAAGTCCTATCTCCAATATGGACTACCTTTTTGAACCCTTCGAAGGGGGCGCCTTGAAAGTTAGGCAAAGAACATAGCGACCCGACAGAGAGAGCGACAAGACATTTTCAGATAAGTTCATGGAGTACTGGATCAGAGCTATTTTCAAATCCCATTCCCAAATCTATTTCCGCTTCTGCTTCTTTATTTTAGTTCTAATTCACCATCAATATATCCGATAATGCAGTTAACGTCATAAAACAGCTGTTTGGAAAGAATACTTCTTTTGCAAACAACATTTTGGTGCTGATTTTACATATTTGTTGTTATTTACAAGACCAAATTACTAAAAAAATGCTCAAAAGGGTTTCACCAGCTGCTAATATCGGGTATAATTTCTCGAAGTCAAAGTGTGCAGAAATTCATTATCACTCATCGACATTTTCAATTCTTTGTACATTTTGCGGTATGAGGACTCTTGCTTTTAGCGAATTCTGTAATCATTTCCACAACCATTACGAGACTTTCATAAATGCTTGGGTAGATAAAGAGGAATCCATAATTAACAGTGATAGTGAAATTATCGAAAATTTCGATGGAAAACGCGATCCATTGAAATTGGAGGTACGAGATGGTACTAAAGGTTCCGAAGAGGATTTAAATATTCTTCAATTTGAAAACAAAGAAGCAAGCAAAGAAGGTGGTGTAAATGAAGTGTCCAATTATGATGAGACGGTTTCCATCCATGGTTTCGATAGGCATCAAACAGAGCCCGCATCCGATGCACCGGACACAGAATTATTTAGAACCACAATAAAATTAGAGAGTACTGACGCAAGTTCATAAATTTTTAGAGTAAGAACCATGTTATTAATTGTTATTTACGTTTTAGGTCAGCTGCAAAGGATCTACGAATATGGTAAACACGAGTACAAAGGTTTCCCCAAACGATAAATGTACTTCTGAAGAAGACGAAAATTCCACCAACGATTTAAATGCTCAAGTAGGTTTAGAGAAGATTGAAGAAAATCTAGTTGAATATATCGATTGGTCTAAATCTTACGAACCAAATTTATTGAAAAACAGTGACAAACGTCGTTATAAAGCTCGCAACACCCCAAACAAATGTACGTATTGTGGAAAGACCTTTCGGCGCCGTCTACAATTGGATACGCATCTAAATATACACACGGGCTCTAAGCCGCACCAGTGTGAGATATGTGGCCGTTTGTTTCGTGCAGTTACAACCCTCGCACGCCATCTGAACACCCATGAAGATCGCCAAGTTTTCAATTGCAAGTTTTGTGCGAAATCCTTCTCACGCCGGGCTGCATTGCTAAGCCATGAACTGAGACACACACAGCAGCGACGTGTACCCTGCGATGAGTGTGAAAAACTTTTTTATACCGTTAATCAAATGGATACACATAAACGAAAAGTTCATAATAAAGTGGATGACGCTTCCTTGCCCTTTCAATGCAATTTATGTACGAAACGCTACCGTAGTGCTTCCATGCTGAGCACCCACAAGTTCAAAAAGCATTACAAAACTGCAAAACTAACTTGTGAACAATGCGGAAAAAAGTTCGTCAACGATCAGCAGTTGGAGGTACATAAAACTATACACGTTTGTAGCCTCAGAGACAACCAATGACAGAATTGCAGCAAATAGGATATAGTAAATATGTAAAATTTAGAACTGATTTGCAAATACATATAAATATGTACATGTATGAACGTATGTGACTTACCGCGTTATTTCGTCTTATTCTGTTTGTCATTTCTTTATTTAGGTGTGGTGAAAACGTTTACCTCGCCCATTGTTTCTTTGCACAAACATTGTTTGTTGCAGGAGCATGCATATCAAAGTAATGCTGCGATTGAAACATTTATAAAATTTAAAAATAAAATAGTTGAATAGCGATTACCTCATAAGTACCGCAAAACTGCAATTTTGGCGTTTGTTCTTTCAAGCTCGATACAAACTATCGACCATTCAATGCGCTCGATAAAATAATCGATTATAATGGCGGACAGCGGCTCTCCCATATATTATTAAATCAAGTAACGATTTCGATTCAACGGCTACTTATTGAAAAGATAATAACTTTTATTTATAATTATTTTTTTTTTTTTTTTTATGGAATAGCTGTAGCTTTTGAGCTGACCAAATAATTCTCCATTTTCTAATTAAACTATACAAAAGAATTACCATTGTGAATGAACAGATTACTAATTGTGACTCCAAGCTTTGCTAACGAAGAAGAAGTTAAGCGAGGCGCTAGATTTTGCAGTTTTTTGTCAATTGCTAATAAATACTTTTCTAAAATTATGACTTTTTGCCAGTGTTGTAGACAATAATGAATTCGAGTGATGGGCAAATCCTTGAAGATTTCGAAGTCGTTGAGGACATAAGGGAAGATGACTCAGAGGAAAGTCTGCAAGTGGACGATGTTCAGTGCGGACTGATTTTTTACAGCGAAACAACGCGCGTATTAAAATTTTTTTGCATATATTGTGAAAAAGTAACCGATAATATTAACTATTTTTGCCAACATTTAAGTGAACACATCAACGATGACAGCAAGGAGAGCCAGCAAGAAGAAATCAATGCCAACGTCCTGCCTGAGAAATCTATTGATGATGTTGAGCTAATGGAAACAGATTCCAAAGCGGTAGTTTACGAACCAAATGCAAATCAGTGCGTTCTCCCCTGCGATTTGGCTGATTTTGATGAATCAAAAATTGTTGTGGAAGAACTGGATGAAGCGGAAGAAATTGCAGCAGAAGTAGAAGCTGAAATGCGTGATGAATTCGAGGGCGATCATGTATTTCCTAAAAAAGAAAATAGTTGCTCAGAGCAATACTTCAGTTACCTACAAACAAATGATTACGGAACAGAAAAGAAATTAAAATCCGAACACAGAGCGGAGATCTCTACAATGGATTTGAATAGAACTGAAGCTACCCATGACACACAGTGGAAAACCTCCAGTAAAAAGAAGAAACGTGTAACTACAGTAAAAGTTATTGCGCTAAAAAATCGGGTTGCAGAACTCTATGAACGCATTAAACTAGAGGAGGAACGGCGTTCTCGCCTCAGTGGCACAAATCGTGAATCATCTAATGGAGACAACGCAGAGAGTGTAGAACAAGATTGTACGATTGGTGCAGAAGCTCACACTTCGTTGCTACCAGAATCAGAGCCGGTAAGACAAATAATTGGCGAAACTGTCATAACCCTTCTGCCACCAACGCTTCCTAAAGTCGACTTAGCGAAATTTGCGGGCACCACATCGCCCCTACAAACTCAAATGAATAAACGTGAGAGCCCTGTTGATAAAACTACTTGTCCGGCTTGCGGTAGAAAATTCCGAAGTGCTTTTAGTCTTACAATTCATAAAAGAACGCATTACTTGGAGTCGGATAGTAATATTAAGTTGGCACACAAGTGCTCCGATTGTGATCAACTATTTAATAAAATTCTCGATTTAAAAGACCACATACAACAAGTGCACTATCCAGAGGGATTTATCTGCAAAATATGTAATAGGAAACTTACAAGTCTTACGCTACTTGAGACCCACATGAGAAAAGTACATCTATCAAGGCCATTCAATTGCGAAATTTGTCGGAAAAATTTCGACACGCCAGATCGTTTCGAGGAACATGTTAAGGCGCATGTATCTGGCCAGCCTTACCGGTGTCACATATGTGGTCGCAAATACAGTACGGAATGCATACTAAAACAACATTTACGAAGACACAAGGAGCAAATACCCCAATGCTGTGTCGTATGTGGTAAGATGACATTACGTATAACACAACATATGAAAATACATGCGCCTCGGCCAAAAAGGGTGCTAAGTTGTAAAGCATGCGGTAAAGTTTTCAATTTTAGCTCAGGCTTAAGTCACCACTACAAAGTAATGCACAAGTTTCCAAAGGCAACTTCAAAATTAAAACGAGATCGTCTTGGTCAAATGTCAAGAAGTCATGAAGAAGTTAAGCCGGAGACACTAGAGAGTTCCGTGGAAGCACTTGAGGATGTCCGAATTGTAGATAAAAAGGATACTAATGAGGAGATCAATCGAAAAGAGGAAGAAGCGAAGAGGGTCATTGTTGAACTTATACAAAATGCAACATACACATCATTTTTCCCTGAAAGTTTTAACAGTTCTATGGACTCTGGCCCACCCATAGCTCGAGAAGAAACGATATCAGCTGTAAATAGCATAGTAAATGAAGAAAATTCATGAAATCAGCTTTGTATAAGGGTTTACTTTAGTTTTTTATGTATATTTGTTAATAGAATGATATGGCAAAAAATTTAAAAATATGTATATTCACCTACCCGATACCGCGTAGTTATGCTTTGCAAGTGGGGCTTAAATGCATGCAATAAAAAAATTTTCGCGTTACAAAAAGTTTGGCAACTCTTATCCGCTTGTCAAAAATGTCATTTGGATTTCAATTGGTTTGTTGGCATTGGCAGATCGGCAGATTTCCGCGATTTTTAATAATCCAGCTGTGAGTGTTGTTTTATATCAACAAAAATGCATCCAGATCTTACTGAACGCATATTGCAACATTTGGAAGGCAATGACAAAGTCAGCACCATTGATTTGGCCACATTGTTTGGCGTAGACCACCAAAAAATTGTTGGTGCCTTAAAAAGCATTGAAGCTCACGGCGATTTGATAATCGCCGAACCAGCCTCAACAAAAAGTTTGGAGTTGACAGAAGAGGGTCAAATTGTAATGACAAATGGCAGTCACGAAGCAATACTGTATGGAACTGTCCCTGTGGAAGGCATTTCCCAAGAGGAACTTATGAAGAGTGGCCCTAATGCGAAAATTGGCTATAGCAAAGCCATGGCACTTGGTTGGATCCATTTGGACAAATCAGTCAGCCCACCACTTGTCAAAAGGAAAGTGGAAAAAATCGAAGATACAGTAAAAAAATCTCTTGAAGAGATTTCAAAAAATCAAACGGATCTTCCACCTCATGTAATCAAAGAATTTAAAAAACGCAAGTTGTTGCAAGAAATCACGACGAAAAGTTTCATTTTGAGTAAGGGTAGCGAATTTGCAACAACTTTAACGAAAATGGAAACAGATCTCACAGTTGACATGCTTGCGAACGGCTTATGGAAGGACCTTAAATTCAAATCGTACAATTTTGATGCATTGGGCTCTGCACCTGTGAGAGGTCATTTGCACCCACTACAAAAAGTACGCTCAGAGTTCCGGCAGATATTCTTAGAAATGGGTTTTTCGGAAATGCCTACAAATAACTACATAGAGTCTTCATTCTGGAATTTCGATGCACTATTTGTACCACAACAACATCCTGCTCGCGACGCTCAGGACACCTTCTTTATTAGTCATCCGGCAAAGAGTTATAAATTTCCGCAAGAATATATGCAACGCGTACAGGAAGTACATTCACGTGGCGGTTACGGTTCGACTGGCTATGGCTATGATTGGAAATTAGAAGAAGCACAACGTAACACATTGCGTACACACACAACAGCGGTGAGTGCACGAATGCTATATAAGTTGGCCAGTCAGCCGGAGGGGTTTCGCCCAGTAAAATATTTTAGTATTGATAAAGTATTCCGAAATGAAACATTGGATGCCACACATTTGGCGGAATTCCATCAAGTGGAGGGCGTGGTAGCGGACGTTGGACTAACGCTCGGGGATTTAATTGGTACACTTTACGAATTTTTCCGCAAACTTGGTATTGAAAAGTTAGAGTTCAAACCAGCCTACAATCCGTACACCGAACCAAGCATGGAAATTTTCTGCTTCCATCCAGGACTTAACAAATGGATCGAAGTGGGAAATTCGGGTGTTTTCAGGCCAGAGCTTCTGCTACCAATGGGCTTACCTGAAAATGTAAATGTTATTGCTTGGGGTCTATCGTTGGAGCGACCGACTATGATAAAATATGGAATCAATAATATACGCGATTTGATCGGGCCTAAAGTCGATTTGAAAATGGTAGAAGAAGGACCGATCTGTCGTTTAGATAAATAAAATTTTTATAAATCGGGACTTGTTTCAAGGGATTTGAATTAAAATATTGTTTGCCTTTCCAAATAAAATTTTAATTAACATTAAAAAGATAATAATTTTTTTTTAGGATGCGAGAAGATAAATACTTTAAGTCAGGAATATGAATTTAATATGCACGTAAAATAATGTAGACGGCATCTGTGTCCGTAGATAAATCAGAAGTTAATAAAATCCATAATAAAATCCTCTGCTTCTGCTTCCCACCCCAAAACCATTGCAAAAATAACGGAACATTTCCCCAAGTCATAGGTCCATGGGTGCCAAAGTAATTCCACTTGCTGTTAAATGGACAAAGACAATGGCTCGTAGTCATAGTCAAAATAAAGTCGACTTTAAAGTTAGTTGCAGCTTTTTGACATAATTTTCAATGGGATATCTGTCAAAATAGCTGCAACTAACTTTAAAGTCGACTTTATTTTGACTATGACTACGGTCCAATATGTATTAAATAACACATCGAAATGTGTAATTTGAGATTCTGAATTATATCAGAATCTTCGTATCCGATATAGAAAACTATAATAGTCCTGGCTAGCTACATTGTGAAATACTCAGATGATATATGTTCACTAAAATTGTATTAATATAAAAATAATGATTTGGCAAGTTATCGAATTTAATGTAAAATTTAATCATTTTTAAAATAAGATATATTATTACTACATATATTATTTATAATCCCAATTTTGGATGTAAAATCTCCCACACCAAAAAACTTACAATTAGGTAACGCCGCTTCGAATTTTTCACAATTGAGCAAATGTCAAAAACCGGCTTTTTAATCAAAAAGTTGGTTATTGAAGCTATCTTTTTTTTTTGTATCATGGCTAGACCGATTTGGAGTGGTGAGAAAAGGTTATAGCTCTGAACCGATGTGGAGTGGTAAAAGCTAGTCGCAAGCCGCTTATTTTATTACATTTCGTCGCCTGGGTAAAAGATTGTCGTATGTTAATTTCGGCAGATTGTGGGAAATCGCGATTGAAGTTTGGAATGCAATTGCTCAAAAACGCGAAGATAGATTTTCTCCAGTCTCTGAAAATTTTACTAGTTCGCAAAATTCTTAAATTTAATTTTTGATATTTGATTAGTTTAATATGACTGCATGACGAACTAAACTTTTACTAAATTGTTGAAAAAATTTTAGTCAACATCTCGGAAACTAAAGGAGATATCTTAAAACAGATAACACCAATCGAAAAATCTTATTTCAAAATATATAACTGCATCTTGCGCTTACGACAATCGTTTACCCAGGCGACGATTTGTTAAAAGGCCGTTTGCCGTTGTACAATGCAAACGCTGCTTTATTTTCGGAAGGGCCCTAAATACAACCGTGTTATTGAAATAATGCATACAGATGTCGCCCAAATAGCCTTCCAGCTGACATAGGAAATAATTTTTGTCTTTCTCTTTTGTTCTCATTTACGAAATTTGTCAAACAAATTGTGAAGAATAAATTTTGTTTATTTCCAAGCATACTATAAACAAATATATGTATATTAAATGGATAGTAATCATGGAGAAGACAATAGAGAAACTGTTTCCGGCAAAGATTCTTCTGCTACTTCATTATTAAATCAGTTCATTTTGGGGCAATTGAAAGAAAAACACTGTACAAACGGGGAAATTGGAGCTAGGAATGGATTCGTCTTACCTAAATTACAAATGGGTGCCACTAAACCTACGAATTTCGTTATTCCTCCATTGAAATTATCCAATGCAAATGATGCATTATTGTGCAAACCACACAGCCAACATAAGCCAACGATAATTTCAAAAGCAACATTTGATAGGAAATCGTACGACGATGGTATTGAAGGCATAAGTAAAGGCATAGACATAATGCATGTGAGTGACTCAGACATTTTGGAAAAGAAAGTAGAAGTATCATCCCCTGCCATCGATCTATCTGCAGCATTGAGCTCCGTCACAGGCATTATTGTGCCTAGTAAGCAACGATTATTACAGCCCGCTGAGGTTTTCCAGATACCATTTATTGAATGTGATCGACAAGAGAAGCCAATTCTGCTGCCCGTCATAGACAAATTCTGCCAGTCGGGCACAGATGCCACTACCATGTACAAAAGCAAAAAACTCGCTACACCTTCGTCTTGTGGACGCATTATTTGTCTCAACTACAAACGCATACATCCGTTGCCGAAAATAGGGCACAGTTTTAAAGTAAAACACAAAATACAGCGTTTTCGTTTCGACACCAAATCACCTGATGACATTATTTTGGCTACTTTGAATAAATACCATCGACAATATTGACGAAGGTCGAAGTCTATTCTACCAGATCGTTTAAAATTAAGAATGAGCAATACACTAATTGTAAGAAAGGACGTTTATAACATTATAATACATATTGTACAAAAAAAGAAATTATAATGAATACTATTACGTATTATTCAAAAAAATCGAAGGCGGATGCCGCCAAACATAAGAAAACAACCCCTGATTACCATTGCATATCCATTAATTCTTGGCTTGGAATCTGAATTTCCAAAAAACATGAAAAACGCGAAGATTTCCTCTAGTAAATTTAAATTTTCAACTTTTTTTATCGGCCAGGTCCTACCATACGGGGTCGTAAGAACTATTGACATTTCCACGAATGTCAAAAAAAAAAAAAAAACCAAAACCAGATTGTCGCAATCGGACAGTTATGGCGTCAGAAATCGCAAGATCGCAAACCATTCTGCAATGAATGGGATAGGGAATTTACATGAGTCGATTTTTAGTTGAATGCAACAATTGCCTGGTGTAAACGGCCTTTCAACTAATCGCTTTCAATGAAGTTGGTCAGCTGCCTACTTTCGTTAAACTTTTGGTTCAACTAATCGCCTGTGAAAGTTGAATCATGTAAATTCCCTAGAAGGTTGAGAAATACGTGAATGAGATATGTGCATACATATATATTTACATATATATAAAGTAGGGAATATAATCAAGCAAAGGGTAAAGTTGGCCCCCTAATTCATTTTTAACAATTGGCCGAAAATATTTGATTGGCACAGGGTGTATTTAACGCATTTGTTTAAGGTGTGTTTAATACGCATTGGTTTGGCATTTCATAGAAAACCATTTTACGGATCCGGCAACGCTTACACACGATTTTCATCAAGTGTGCACCCTTTCTCTTGCTCTTTCCTCCCAATTCGGCACGGCTCTCTTTCTCCCTTTTCCACACACACACTTTTCACACGCATTTGACAAAATAATAAAAACAATTTCCGAATTCTAGTGAAAAGTTTTATACATTGCCGTCTGAGAAAGGCTATGCAAAAAGTTTTCATTTCGTCCGAAACAATGTCAAAATAGTAAATTAAATAATTAATTGTGAATTATTTGTCTGTTCTGGTTTAAAAATATGTCGAGAATCGCAATCAAAACAGAGAATCTGGATGATGAGCAGGAGGAGATTGGCATTGAAAGTAGAGCCGCAGAAGAGGATGGTGTTGGTCGCCAGGAGCAAGAAAAGGGTACTTCGTCAGCCGAGCTAAGTAATTTGGTTACGGCAGGTAAACAGCACATTGAGGTGGGTCGAAATGTGAACATGGCGACGCGCCAGCTACAACAAATTCAGCCGCAACCTACTTCTTTGTTGAAAATGACTGGCGGAGGAGCCGGTGGTGGAGGCGCCGGGGGCGGCGGTAGTGGTGCGGGTACGGGTGCGGTTGATAGTAACAGCCGTCTGGTCAACTCCGGCCATGATACCAATAGCACTAAAAAACCTACATTACCGAAATCACGCTGCGGAGAAGTCTTTGTATCCAATAATGCACGCCAGTGGACATTTATTTGCACCTATTGCAACAAAAGCACACGTGACATCGGCGAATTTATATGCCACATAAAAATCAAACATTTGGGTGGCTTTGCGGATGATGGTGGTGATGAAACAGACGATGGTGGAGAGTACGAGGGAAATCAACCAAATTTCTATGAGCAGGATCAAGATGTAAGCAAAGAATTTCGAAGATCATTCAAAAAACTGCATTCTATAATTTGCTAGTGCTGTACACCCTATAAAGCACTCAAAAGTTTGAGTATTAGGATAATCTTTAATTAATTCATCGGGCTAGTATATGTAAAAACGTATGTACATTCATACAACATGCATACATATGTACATTAATGTATTAATGAGTTTCGCTTTGCAACATTTGCAAAAAAGCAAATCAATGTGTGTTTATCGATTTTTTTTTTTAAATAGAGCAGGCTTCTTACAGTTCGTTTCATCCTTTTATGCTTGTCGTTACAGTGTACACAATTCATGCGAATGTACCATCGCTTATGAAAAACGGATAAAAATCAGCAAAGAGATCGTTGATGTGTTCGCACGGCTGAAGAGGGTTGAAATAAACCGGTTTCAGTTTTCTTAAAGTACATTTCTTGCCTTAGTTTTTCCCTTACTTTTTAATCATGGTGTATTTTTTTAACCGACTTCCAAAAAAGGAGGAGGTTATCAATTCATCGGAATATTTTTTTTTTTATGTATGTTGTATGTTACCGCATAACTTTGGACCACGTCAACCGATTTCGATAATTCTTTTTGCATCGGAGAGGTAGTGTCTCAGAGGTCCCATACTTATGTGGTTTAGTTTCGATCATTGGATCATGAAATATACATATATATATACACACATATATTATATATATATATTTATATGAGAATTGAAGTCGGTTTTGTTTTTTGCTTAAAAATTACTTGTTATTGAAATGGTTTATAGTCGTTTGGACGCGGAGAAAAATACTTCGTTTTTAAACTAAGTTTATTTAAACGATATAGCGAGCCAATTTTTTGCATATAGTAATATATTGGGCACGATGGTATTAAATTAATAATCCTTTCCATGGATAGCTACATATATACCTATGTTCACATAAATATGGATGCATGTGAACTTTCTTTCAAAAGCCACTTTGATTTCATAAACTCAAAATCGTATGCTTGGCTTCGTTAGCTATAATGCAGAGTTTTCCAATCCTAAAAATTGGCATTCCCATATCGATGGTTCTGTGCAATAACAAGACAATTCAAAAAATAAAAACTGTCACTACTGTTAAGTGGCTCATGCCTCTAATCCTTGTCGAATCCATGTCTAACCTTTTGTAATTACTTTTGCAATCCTTACTACTTACCTTAGTAAGGGATGGAAATGGATTGGACAAAGATTAGAGACAAGAGCAACTTAACAGTAGTAACAGTTTTTGTTTTTTCGAATTTTGAATTGCGTCGTTATTGCACAGGACCATCGGTATGTATGGATGTGTGTACATATTTTATTGCCTGCAGACTATAAATAAGTTAATAGTACAAACAAATATTTTTAAAGCAAGCTTTCTAAATATGAACCAAATTCGGGTTTTTCAAGTATCTCGATTCATGCGCCACCTATCGGATCAACTCATCTTTCGTATTGTATTGTCATCGGGTTCTGAGCCAACTGTGAAGTTTCAGGTCTCTAGGTCATCGGGAAGTTGGTCAAAAATTGATTACGAGATTTGCCCCCTAAAACATACTTACATATGTAAATAAAAGCTTGTAAGAACACCATATATTTTTTGGTAAATCAAATTGGAAAAAGCAACAACAGTTTTTCTTTGAAACCCAAAGTACCTACGAATGAAGCCTTATTAGAAGATGTGGTTATATCTGAAATAGCAGATATGTATAACCTCTACCACTTTCATGTTGAATGCTTCAACTATATATTGTAAATCAGCAAACGTCACTATCAATGCCAAAGACATTTTTTAATAAACCTCGTAAGGTCGCCCTCAGCTACACTTCGAAACTAAAATTCAAAATAAAAGATTTATTTGCGTTTCAAGAACGGCGCTAGTAAGCGCTTTCTAAGCTAATTTAAAAAGTTTTTTGATAGATTCCTTTGCCACGTTTATTTTCAAGTCCATTTGTTCGTTGTAATCTGTTTGGTTTTTATATAAACATACCAAATCTAACACTCTTTCAAAATAGTATTTGGATTGCGGCAGCTATCTGGATGTGAACGTACACACAGAGTCCGAAGACTACAGTTTAAATGGCCAAGATCACTCGTCTTCATACCGACATTTAAGCACTCATAATCTAACACAAAGACTACCGGTGATCGCTGCGGCAGTCTCAAAGCAAGAAGAAGTAAAAAGACAAGCTGATTTTAACAAAAAAAGGAAACTTAATAGTGCCGAAGATGACACTTTGGACGGCGAAAATGAATACTCTTTTGGCACTGCTAAAGAATCTGCCGCACAATGGCGTGCCGATCCAGCCAATTTCCAATCATACGCAAATAAATACACTTTAAAAACCTCCACCCCAGATGCTAACATGAAAAACAATGCCATAGCAAATGGCAGCGCTGCTTTTGACGCTACCGACTACACTTCGAATAAGGACGATTTTGATGCAGCCGGCGCCTATGAAAACGACGATGAAGAAGACTTTGATAATCAATTGCTGATTGCGCCCACTGACTCATTAGATGCGAGCATACTGGGTGCCACCCAAGATGGTAGTGGCGGTGAAATGAAAGCTAAGCGTCGCCAAATACGCGGTACCGCCTACTGTGCCCTGTGCAACAAAACCTTCCAATACTACTCACTGTATCGCAATCATATGATTAAGCATTCTAATGAGACACCGTTTAAGTGTCCTATTTGCAAAAAAGGATTTAAGTCAAAGCAGGCCATACGCTATCATATGAATACACATCAGAAAGAGAAGCAATTCAAATGCACCGTCTGCAGTGCATCGTATGGCACTGAGAACCACTTCATCTCCCATATTATGACTCATGAAAGCGCAACTGCATTTCCATGCATGGTTTGCGGTCAGGTACTAAGCAGCAGTAAGGAGCGCGATATTCATATAGCTAACCATAAGGAGGAGCGACCATTTCGTTGCGACTACTGCAACAAACTCTTCCGTTTACGCCACCATTTATCCAACCATTTGAAGATGCACCGCAAATACCGTTGCGATTATTGCAAGGAGATATTCACCAGCGCTATTTACTTGCGTAAACCTTACGCTTGTCCAGGGTGTGAAAGTTCACCCGATGCGCAGCAAGATGCAGCAAATGCTGCAAGTTTAAAAGCTGCACGTCTTGCTGGCAGCAAAAACGTAAACCCATTGGAAATTTTCGAAACGGTCATACCAGGACAACAACAACATGGTGATGACTACGCACAGATGGTAACCGACTCGGAAGGTGATGGGGAAGTTGATGAGGACGACGATGAGGGCGAGGACGACGATGATGATGAAAACGATAATGAACAACAAGACTCACCTATGAATGAAGATGGCGATGAAAACGAAGAAAGATCACTAAAAGACGCTGAGCAAGAAGATGTGGATGATGACGAAGATAATGCTGAGGATGATGAAGGAGAATATGAGGAAGGAGGCGCGGGTGGTAGTGGCGACCGAGCTATTGGCCAATATGGTGGCGGTATGAAGCGTTATGTATGCAAGTATTGCCCGCGCAGCTATTCGCACCCAAGCGGGCTAAACTACCACATAAGGCATAAACACTGCTAGTAAAAGAGCACAAATAAGAAGGCAAATTACAGATGAAGGAGCTATAGGGAGGGCATATAATTATTTATAAGAGAAGAGATTTTTTTCCAACTTATGCACTGACAAAAACAAAATATGTAGTTATAGAAAAGAAAAGCCGAGCGCAAAAAATGTTTAAAATAGCTGATTGTATACTATGTAAGAGATTTATTACTTTTAAGCATAAATATTATAAATACATATATTCTTTTAATATTTCTATTATTGTCAGGTGACTACAGACTTAAAATGCTAGCGCATGCCGGTACAAATACAAAACAGTCTTTCCTAATAACATCTAGTCTAACCTTAAACCATTATTTTGTACCCACACAGGTAGATATAAACCTTGCATTACGGTGGACTATTGTATGATACCTCTAAGTTGTGCAATTGTTATTATGGGTAGCAGCGATTTAATTAGGTAATTAGTGAAAACATGTGGGACTCATTCTATAGCATCGTTCTGGTTGTTACCATGGCAAAAAAAAATTCGATTCGTTTATTAATGAAAATGCTGTCGTAATGCGATCGTCATTGCAAAAGTTTTCCCCCAATGGGCGTGTCTGGCAATCTGCTTAATTCACGTCCATGTAGGAGTGTCACATACACGAGATTGTAGCGGCAGCGATAGCTACGTTAGTAAATACCAAAGCATATATCTTGGTAAAAATTAAATACTCAAATGTATGTATGTAACTTCTGTTTCTTAAAAAAAAAATAGCAGATTTTACTTTCACGTTCCTTGCATACAACTATTGGTACCCAAAAATTTTTTTTTACATATTAACTGAAATTTATACACACACGTGTACATTATCTTCATTATTTTAGGTATAGTAAACAGTATTCTTCCGAGTAAGCCATCACATCCATCTTGAATCCGACCGAAATGTATTAGAACTGATGTTTGTGAAAATTAAAGAAAAAATACTAACACGCATACATATGGACGTACATTTTTTCTCAAAGCATATTAATTTTTATAAAACATACCGATAAGGCTTGAATAGGCCTTGAAAACTATATTTATGTACATACGTGCATTAAAAAAATAGAGTTATCAAAATTATTGAAGGTTATAGGGAACAAATTTCCGAAAAATCAGTGACTGGCCCAATGTTTTTGTATTACATACATATGTATGTACATATATCATCAAGTAGTCAGTCATCTAGTGTTTATAAAAGATAAAACACCAATCTGTTTTATTTATTTTTTTGTAATACATACATATGTTAAAGATTTCAAATCTCATTTGAATTTTAGAGCAATATTGTTCTAAATTTGCTAGCGCTAAAAATCTCATTTCTCACATAAAAAGCTCTTATTTTTGATGTTTAAGTTATTATTTTTTATATTTTATTTATTTTATTTTTTTGTTACACTTAAGTCCACGAATATACATGCATACATACTAAGTACAGCTTTGAAATTAATATGAATATGAACAGCTTTTTTACGATTATAGTGAGTTTAAGTGAATTATTAATGTAATAAAAAGGCAATTTTCATTATGAGTTACTCTTAGAATAGCAACAAAAATATGAATGCTGCTAAATTTATTTAAGGCAATTACGCGGAAAAAATATAAATGGCAAAACATAAACGTTTTCCAATAAAAGACAAAAGAAAAAACTAGCAAAGCAAAATTTTTGTAAAACTAGTTATTTACGTTATTATATTTTGGTATCTATCCAAAGATTCTTTACAACTTCACTGCGCCTAAAACACATGTAAAATTGCTAGGCGAAGACTTTGTAACGCTGAAATTAAATTTAAATTTACTTTATACAATTGTATTTACAAGCGAAATTAACTGTCCATACAAATCTTGTCGTTCGATACATGTATGTATGCAGAAACAATTAGGTATATTTAATGCTTCATTTAAAATTATTTTCATTTTTACAACTATATCGTCAATGATCAAGCAAACACCAAAAGCGAGCATTATACGAACATTCAGCTTTCTGCTAAATCATGTTAATAGCTACTATGAATATTAAAAAAATATAAATACATATATGAAAATATTAAATGAGGTTTACTAAACAAAGCTCATACAGTGGTGGAAAAATAAATAGCGACGCGACATTTTAACAAGTTTTGCCTATTTTTCTTTTGTATATTTAATACGTATTATATTTTTAAAAGGGTATCTAACAAAAACCATATACATATTTGAAACTTAGTGCAAAAATTATAAAAATTCGGCAAAGTTACATCTAAATTTTCAACTTTTTAGTCAGATTTTTAGAATTTTGCATACTTTGTGTATGTAGTTTTGTTTTTAAATTAAATTTTAATGTATAGAAAAATCGCGTTGTTTTTTGTCAATTTTTTTCACGCCTTCTTTTCCATACAAAGAATGTTCGATAACCTTTTTTGTATGGAAATGCGTAATACAGTCAGAAAAAAATTATCTTAGATAATGAGCTTTACTTTTATAAAAAAAAAAATTATAAATAATATATGTAAATAAAAGAAAAATAGACAAAACTTTTTAAAATGTCGCCTTATTATTTATTTTTCTACCACTGTAGACACAGTAGGTTATTAATTGAATAACTCTTATATAAACGTATTTTTTAATGTGACAACACACGTTCGCCGAAGCTAAGCGAATTTAGCAACGTAACCGAATTCAAACTGTAAATACTACTCCATTGATATTCATTATTAAATAAACATAAAACACAAGTCGTTGTTTGCATTTATATTGCATATTTTTCTGAAATATCGCTAAAGCTACCCTACCTGGCGGATCGCCGTTGATTTCGTTGGGGAGAGTGTTAAGCTTCTTGCAGTGAAGAAGCGAGAAAGGCTGTAGAGATAGCCGTTTACTTTTGAGCAGAGGTCATCAATTCCATTCCCAGAAGCCAATATCGAGCTGTCGTCAGCGCATCAGATCAGGTAAACTCTTTCAGGTGTCTGGGGGAGCTTCGAGAACCCCATGTTTTATTCTTCTAGGTTTCGAGGTTTGATCTCGGAAGATTACTGACAACTGTGGACCACTCAAATAATTCGCCGACCACCGTTTGAGTCGTTGTGGGAGAGAGGAAGCCTCAATGTCTTCTAGGGGCGGTTGCGATTTAGGTCACGAGTTATTTGGGTGCTTATGGCGTTAAGTGCTGTTGATGGGCTATGCACTTTCCGGAAACCATGCTGATGCTTCGCTGGGGTCAGGTGGTGGGTGAAGTACGGGAGTAGAAGGGCCTCTAGTGTTTTCGCGACCGGGGAAAGGAGCGTTATCGGGCAATAAGAGTATCCTTTGTTGGCGGGTTTCCCCGGTTTCAGCAGTGGGACCACCCTCCCTGATTTCCACACATCAGGAATGATGAGTGGCCATTGACAGGTAAAGGACTTATATGAGGTATGCTACTCCCGCGGGCTCCAAATATTTCAGCATCAGCATGCAAATTCCGTCGGGCTTTGGAGGCTTTCGCCTTCCCTTCCTTCACTTCGCCGCTGGTGAAAGTAAGTGGTGCATTGTTTTTGGGCAGCTAGTGCAGCCTCCGACGAGGTTGGAGAGGGAACGGACGGATCATCTGAGCTTACTCACACTAGAGGGGAAGTTACAGGTCTTCAAGTGCTCCCCACTTTTTCCGCTTATACTGATTTACCAGTTGCCGAATCCCTCCAAATTAGGGTCCTTCAGGCGAGGACCCGCAGGATCGACCTGGTGTAGGTGGTCACACTCATTTGCTGCTTCTGCCGGAAAATTTGGGGGACTTCCGCGATGAGTCCGAATGGTACCCAGCCGAACTGGCGTTTGCTAGCGGATGGTGACATTTGGCTTCATCAACAGGGGGCCACAAGGTATTGGGATAATTGATGGGGTTCGACGATCTTAAAGAGGATAGATCGCCGACACAACAGCCCTTGGTCGGGTAAAACTCGAGTCATTCCGGTACGTAGAACCGGCTGGCGTGGGAATGTTTAAATGCCTGCGATCTGCTTCTGTATAGACAGGCAGAACGCAACATATCAAATATCTAACCATTTGGCCGATAATGAGGGCCAGTGCTTACTAATTATGTTCATATGTATGCATGTATGTCTGTACCGTTGTTGTTTAAGGGTTAAAGTGCGCGCTACCATTCCGTAGGGCCTGGGATCTAACCAAAGTTTCCGATTAACATAAAAAATAAAATAAAAAAGAACGTGTTTTTCTAACAGCGGTCGCCCTTCGACAAGCAATGTAGAGTCTCGTCTTTCGGAGTCAGTGTATAACTGTAGGTGCCTCCCCTTTGTGTGACAACAAGGCGCACACCACAGATCGGAAGAGAAGCTCGGCCAAACACTAATAAATATATTGTGTACGCGCCATTCTTATAAATTATCAGAACTGTTACGATTAATTATATTTTATTCACTGATACCAAACATGACATGCAATCGGTTTTAGTGCATAAAATATTTGAGAATTGAAAATGCCTTACCAATATAACTTTGTAAGGACGAAAACCGCAAATGAAGCCACGTTTCAACATTTCCGGAACAACTCATTTTATATCCGGCATTTCGAACAAAGTTCGTGTTCGTTCGCCATCTGTTTTTTATTTTTTTTTTTTCTTTGAAATGGATGATTTTATATTTATACTGTGGAAAGCGGTTTTATATGGATTGCGAATTTAAGATACCATCTAAATACTCATATTTAATAAATTATTAAGTAAAAGGAAACTCTTTTGAAATATATTGAATGCAAAATAAATGCGAAATTTTCGTACCTGGCAAGGCCCTTTGCCGAATGACGACGAAATGAATAAGACGATTGTAAATTTTGCTTTGTGCGGAGGCGAGTTTATTTTCATTTTCATTTTCCAAATTTTTACAGTTTCTGTACGTTTATAATTGCAAAAATTTGCAGAAAAAGCTTACAAGCGCGTGTAAAATTTAAACGCAAAATTACTTAAGATCAGTTTGGCATAAATAGTGAAGCCAACGGCATTTGCTATCACTGGTCGTCTGGCAAAGGCAAAAGCGATTGATTAGCAGAATTGAGAAGGAAGTGCAAGGAGGAAGAGGAAGTAGAGTAAAACGAAAAGTAAAGTCTGTGCTTGGTTGAAAGACGTAAAATAAAATATATTTGTGTGGTCAAGGGAAGGGAAGAAAGTGCACAAACGAATAAATACTTGGGGTGAGAATACTGCAAAGGCAATAGAACAACAAGGTCCACAGCAACAGTGCGAGACGATGCATTTTAAACGTCTCTAAAAAGGAAACAAAGCAGAAAACATATCCAGTCGGCAGAAGGAAGAGGCAAGAAAAGTATCCATCAGACGACGGCGATGACGACTCTGTTGTAGAACGGAAAGCACAAAAAAGTGTGAAAGGTCAGCAGACAGACGAAGAGGAGACGGAAAATAAAGAAACCGTGCAAAATAGTATACTCAGCCAGTAAGCAAAGAATCATACATATTTAATATACATATAAGTATAACGCAATCGTAGCCGCAAAAAAGTATAGAAAATATAATTTACGCCAAATTTTAACGTAAAAATTTATTATGTAGAGCTGTCGATTTCCTTTAAATTGCATGGGCATAGATGAATGTTTGAAATATCCTTGAATGTACTTATATACATACATTTATCCGACAAGACAAGACTAAAAAAATTCATTCATTCCACTTAGAATTGCAGTATACATATTGGCCACAAGTCTGGATTGGTGAGTTTGAAAAGAGCAAATATTTTCTGTATTACTAGCTCAGGTTCGTTATAGTAATTAATAAGGACTTTTTTAGTTATGCAATGAAATGTATATTTACATATATATGTATGATCACAAATTATGCTTTTTAGGAACTCGCCAGTAATCTTATTATTTGCTACTAGCTGCCATTGTAAGCAACCGACCGCGCAAGTGCTAACGACCACCGCCAGATTATCATACATTTCACAGATATTTCTTCGTACCGGAAGCAGGTGTATATATTTAGGACAAGCCGGATCTATAGCATTTGTTGACGACTCTACCAGTCGACCAGTGCACGCTTGCTGGGCCACGTGCGATGTTGCCATTCACCCCACAAGTAGTTAAACGTTTGTTAGCACTCAAGAAGGGCAACGAAGATACGGTCGAGGGGAAGTGGTCAGAAAAGGCGGTTAAAAATCTAGTAAAGAAAGTGAAGAAGAACATACAACTCGAAGAGTTAGAACGTGCCATTTCCACACAAAATTGTAATACACGCTGTGTCACCGTACCGCGTAGTAAGCCAGGCGCTACTGGCGAAAATTTGCGCAAAGGACAACCTCATGTCATATATTGCCGCGTATGGCGTTGGCCAGATCTACAATCTCAGAATGAATTGAAAGCTTTGGATCATTGCGAATACGCTTTTCACTTGCGTAAAGACGAGATTTGTATCAATCCATATCATTACAAAAAGATTGAACTATCGATTTTGGTGCCAAAATCATTGCCTACACCGCCTGACTCAATTACCGATTATCCATTGGATAATCACACCCACCAAATACCTAATAATACAGAGTACAATGCCGCTACTATACGCAGCGCCTCTCTGAGTCCGCCACAGTATATGGAGTTGTCAAGTCACCATCATCAACAACAACAGCATTCGCCGGGTAGTTTAGTTGGTTTGGGCATGAGTGCAGCTCAACAACAACAACAACAAATCAATGGCTCACTTGTAGGATCTGGCGCTTGTAACATGGACTCGCAATCAAGTGTGCTAAGTGTTGGCAGTAGCATTCCCAACACGGGCACACCTCCACCTGGCTACATGAGCGAAGATGGTGATCCCATTGACCCGAATGACAATATGAACATGTCGAGGTTGACGCCACCAGTCGATGCTAGTCCCGTAATGTACCATGAGCCCGCTTTCTGGTGCTCAATTTCTTATTATGAACTTAACACGCGTGTCGGTGAAACCTTCCATGCCTCGCAACCATCTATTACAGTAGATGGTTTCACCGATCCCTCAAACTCTGAGCGTTTCTGTCTTGGCCTACTCTCCAATGTAAATCGTAATGAAGTGGTTGAACAGACTCGTCGCCACATTGCCAAAGGAGTACGTCTTTATTATATTGGGGGTGAGGTGTTCGCAGAATGCCTCAGTGATTCGTCAATATTTGTGCAAAGTCCTAATTGTAATCAACGCTATGGATGGCATCCAGCTACTGTCTGTAAAATACCACCAGGATGTAATTTGAAAATCTTTAATAATCAAGAATTCGCAGCATTGCTATCGCAATCAGTATCACAGGGTTTTGAGGCCGTATATCAATTAACGCGTATGTGTACCATACGCATGTCATTTGTGAAGGGTTGGGGTGCAGAATATAGACGTCAGACGGTTACTTCAACTCCGTGTTGGATTGAGTTGCATTTGAATGGGCCGCTACAATGGTTGGATCGTGTTCTCACGCAGATGGGTTCGCCGCGCTTGCCATGCAGCTCCATGTCTTAAACACACCGAAACGCATAAAAGGAAAAAATGTGAAGCGAGAAAGATGAAAAAAGGAGTTAGGAGTGCATTAATGCATTAAAATCAATGCCAACCGAGGAGTAACCTATGTTTGCACATATATATGTATGTATGTATTGAATAAGTATACGTAAAAATTAGTGATTCAAATAATTGGAAACTTTTTTTCTAAAATGTTTCAAATGCCCTTAATCGTGGTTGTTTTGTGTGAGATTCCCTAGAAATTAAATTCGAACGGTGTTCACATGAGGCGATTTTCCAGGCAATTTAAGAGGCGATTAGTTGAACCAAAAGTTGGCTGCACCCCAAGCTTGGTCCCCAACTTCATTGGAAGCGGTTAGTTCATACCAGGCGATTGTTGATTTCAACTAAAAGTTGCCTGTAAAATCGCCTCATGCAAACACCATATTAAAGATAGAAGCGATGTTAAAATAAATTTTTGCAATTTATTGCCAATGACAGATACACAGAAACGAAATATTTGCAAGGATTATTCAAATTGTTATATGTACATATAAAGAAGGTAATATAAAAAATAGGACAATGCACTTACAGGTGTATGATCACAGTGGACATAACATTGAAATTCATATTTACTACATAAAGGTAAAGACAGCTCACATTTTGTAAAAAACAATCACACTGTGTAAGGTGTGTATTGTATATTTTTGCAATGAACTTTCACTAATACACAGCTATGCCAACACGAAATAGTACGTATTATTCTCACCCGCAAGGATGTTATCAAGTAGCAAAGCAGTTGAAATTAGGAAACATTAAGAGCTTTTAGATTTTAAACTTTTAACAATAGATTTTGTACCATTTACAGATTTACATGGATCAAGTACATGTTAACTCATACATATGTACATACATATACAATAATTATATATGTATACAAAATAAATATATACAAAACCAAAAACATATATGTACATACATATGTACATATGTAGGTAAAAGAACAGCACGTTTGGGATATTTGCTATAAGCAAATTGTAGGAATTTAAAAATTTTAAACAGATCGTAAGATCTAAAAATGAAAACTTGGCTAAAAACTGCGGGATATTAGCTGTAAAAGTTTGATAAAAAAAAGTCTATATAAAATATGTCTGTATAACCATAATTTAAGATGCTCCTTAATAAGGTTTTTTTTGTGCTTTAACAAAATGAAAAAGATATTTACTTGTTATATGTATGTATAGAAGCTGAGCAAAACGTGAAAATACTTGTCACTTACATTTAGTCGGCTGTCTACAATGGAACTAGTTCGCAATAATTATTAATGCAAATATGTGTTTTAAAAAATAATTTAATTGTCGTTTTGTAATACACTTTTTCGATATTGATATATTTTACCATACATTTACAATGGGGTCTTTCAATACAAATTTTTTTGTACATACATATGTAGGTATGCAATTGAAAATTACATATTTTAAAATATTCTGAGCTGTTTAGACGAAAGAAGCTGCAATACAATTTATTTACATACATAAATATGCATAAAAATATATTAAACACATATGGGTGTTTGTCTGGTTTTTTAAATATATACTGGCTATATAAGTAGAATCATGTTTGCGTAAAATGGTCTTCCTAGGTAGTGCCAAGGTCGAGATATTTCGAAAAACCGTATTTATGGTCCGATTTGGTTCGAATTTGGGGTATGTATTTGAAACATAATAAATCATAGATTTCCAACAAATTGACCCTGAATTGGCGCTGAAGTCAAAATATAAAGTATATTCGACGTAAAATACATGTTTTATTTGCGTTAAAAATTCATTTAAAAGCAATATTAACAAAAATATAACGATGGAAATTTATGTCACGTGACGCCCCGTCACGTTTCACACTTGGGGTTGTTAAAGAAAATTGAAACAATTTGCATTAATTCAAAAAAATCTAAAAACAACTAGAATAGCTCCGAATCATATTAAAATAAGTTTCATGAAAATAGCCATCCACAATTCACAGAGTTTTGCGATTTTGTAAGAAAAGAAAAAATCAACTTCCATTTTTTGTCACGTAACGACCCTCTCTTTAAATACTTATATTTCAAGACCAAGCAGTTCGATTGATTTCATTTTTCGGTTAGCTAATTATGTGCTATACAATGGCCCAAAAAAGTTAAAGAAAACAAATGGTATTCCTTTTTTGTATCACATTGAAACGTACGACTGTCACGTACGCGACGTATGGAAATACCCATATGTATGTATGTATGTATGTATATCCACCCACTGTGATCCCGCGTCATGGCATCATGGCCAAATTACAATTCAAGTCAAAGTCAAACAATTAAACTGCCATACATTTTTAAATAATTAGATTTTTAACTACAATAAATGCATTTTTCGTTTACTTGGCTCAAATAAATAAACTCCACAGTTCCAATAGGGACCCAACACCATACCATAACAAAACGACATACATATGTATGTACTGACGCGAAAATCGCTTAAATGTATATATCACAAGCGAAAAACATTAATTAGCCTCAGCATAAAGCCACTTAAAGAATAATTAATTTTTGGTTACAAATCAGTAATACTACGAAATACTATTTTTGGTTATGTAATCTTCTTCGATGTTAAAAAAGTATAAACTTCATATGTTTTATAATATATGTCCGATCATTATTACGGTTAATTTTCCTGTTAAATTTAGTTTTAGTTGAGTTTGGTATCAGCTCGATTAAATATAAGTGAATCTAAGTCCCACTTTATTGCTCTATAATATTACACAATATATGTATACTCCATTATATCAGTAATAATAAAACTAATAAAATAAAAATAAAAAAAAATAAAACTGTTTTTATACCTATGTAGGTTGGATTCCAGAAATTTCCAACGCGTAAAATCTCTAAATGAATAACATATGTGCCTAAAAATATGCAATACGAAATTGGTTCAGTATAAATCCTTACCATAAGATAATGCATAATGTGACCAACCGTACTTCTTTCGGAAGTACAGTACTTATTTTTGAGCCGTTGTACTTTGTACTTCGAAGTACAGTCAAATATACTTCTTGCAATATTTTGTACTACCTTTTAAGTTGAGTTTCGAAAAATTCTAAAAGGTTAGTCATCTCAGTTAAAAATGGTACTCGTAGATCAACACATAGCTGACAAATTGACATTTAGCTGACAAATTTCATTGTAAGGGCCTGTGTCAATCGGTAACTTTTTTCTCCGTGGTGCGACGGGGTGAAAACATTTGCTACGGTGTAGTATAATTAAATTGAATTTTGCTGTGCCGAATGCAAAGTAAAATTTTGACAGTTGAAAAACCAAACAAACGCTCGTGCGAACGTTAATTTATATTCTTATAACTCCAGTCCACATACATATCGCGAACTTTCTTCAAAGGTGAGATAATTTAATATTTAACTTATCTTGTCAATTTCACTGAATTACGTTTTTCCAAAAGTATTTTCAAAAGTATTTTCGACAGTAGACTTTCTTAGACCGCTTTAATTTAACACCAGAATTGTAATATTTAAAATATTACTCAAATATTCCCGGTAGCAAATTTGCCTAACCGTCTTTATTTTGATACCCATATTGCAATATTTAATTTATCTTAATTAAAACAAACAAAAGCTTGCAAACAGGTGGCAACGTTCCCAAAAAAAATTTCGGCCGTGACCCTTTTGAAACTTCTTTATTTTGACAGCCATATTGCAATATTTAATGTATCAATTTTAGCAAAACTCTAATTTTCAAACAGGTGGCAACTCTAGCAGTGGCCACATTGCGTGTTTGTCACTGAGACGGTTTAAGTCAAAAATTTTGAAGTGAAACTACCTTCTAAAAATTATTGTATCATGGGTATTTCCATGGAAGCGTTGAATATTTTTAGATAGAAAGTAAGCGTGGCGATTTATGAACCACCGTCGAAGCAATGAAAGTAATTTCCCCTTAGTACAATTATATTACATTCATATTATTATATATTATATTTAATTCAATTATATTATTATTAGGGAAATGTTTAGTTATTGGCCCACAGTTTTGGGGGTGGCCTCCTAAACGTCTCCCATTCCCACTTTACGACATTACAGCTGAAAAGTTGGTAGATCTACCAATAAAGTGGTGAAGTCCATGCACCGGGTCAGCCATTTTTTGTAGGGCTAGTAGAAAAAAGTCGAAAAGTCATCGAGTGGGAGTCTATTCTTGTCGTTTTGAGGCAGCTGACCTCGATTCCAAAAAATCGAGTTTTTTCAGCAAAACACCGATTTTTGACTAATGTCTGAGTCGACTTTTCCATTCCGAACGAAGTGAATTAAACTGGCTACACACGACGAACATCTGCGCGCACATATGCGCCAACATGCTCGCTGTCGTTTGCTACAGACGGCGAGCGGCTCATAAGTGATTTTGTACTCAAAGCGTAAACATGGAAAGTCGCGGATGATGCAATTGCAATGCTTTTAACTTAACTTTTTTATGTATGTGTTACTTAAATTTATTTATACTTTACTTGTATGTACGTACATACATATACTTATAGTAATTTAGCCTCATTTATCAAAAATTCAATTAAATAACATGGCTTGGATGCATTTATCCGCCGATGTGCACACTTCAAGCATCAACACAAAATGAGGTTGTTGTTTTTGTTTCCAATGCGATGCTTGCATACCCAAGAATGATAGAATACAAGATTGCGCCGTCCTGGGCGTTGACATTTGTGTACCACAAGTAAACAAAGAATAGAGCGAAAAGAAGAACGAGTTGAAACTGCCAAAGCAGTTCAACTTATAGGATTATCTGCTTGATAAAGTTATCGGTTTAGATGAATACCACTAATAATAATTGTTGATAATGTAATTTTTTAATCGGTTGTTTCATTCATACACATAGTTTCTTTCCGTTTCATTCACATGGCAGCAAAAATGACGTCGGTGCGAAAAAGAATACTTGTTTATTCGTTCGTTCATGAAATAATGCTGCCAAAATTTGTTCTCCTTGAACCAATACTGCAAAAGTCAAAAGCGCTAGGAAAGAGAATACGCTATCAATTAGTTAGTCTGTTCCAATAGCAGTCCGGTTTACAGGATTTAGTCAGAACTTACAGGAAGTCGTTCCTATTGACATAAAACCTGTAAGTGGGAACACATTTGAGAGAGTAACTGAGCAACTGTTCCTAGTCAGAAGTTACAGGATTTAGTCCGGAGATTTTTTTCCTGTAAGTTCATGAAAAGTGTCAAACGATCAGCTGATTTACATGTGCAAACAAAAGCAGAAAGCGGTGAAAGCAAAGAACCTTATATTTGTTATAAAATGGAAGGAAACAACGAAATATTTAAATATGTATAGATTTTATTAATTATTTAGTGATATTTCAGCCAAATCAGTGTAGTGCCAATGACATGTAAACAAACCGTCTGACGTTTTTACAGGAAATAGTGCTTTTTGCGTTCCTATGCACTTCTGCATCTGTTCTCCTTTTACTCTCATTTGAGAGAGTAAAATTGTAGTTTGACAGTTCCACAGGTTTTAGTCCGAAGTTCAAAGGAACAGATGTAGTCATTTGAGAGAGTAAAATTGTAGTTTGACAGTTCCACAGGTTTTTAAAACCTGTGGAACTGTCAAACTACAATTTTACGCTCTCAAATGAGAGTAAAAGGAGAACAGATGCAGAAGTGCATAGGAACGCAAAAAGCACTATTTCCTGTAAAAACGTCAGTCGGTTTGTTTACATGTCATTTGTACAACACTGATTTAGCTGAAATATCACTAAATAATTATTAAAATCTATACATATTCAAACATTTCGTTGTTTAATTCCATTTTTTTACAAATATAAGGTACTTTGCTTTCACCGCTGTTTGTTTTTGCTTGCACATGCAAATCAGCTGATCGTTTGACACTTTTCATGAACTTACAGGAAAAAAAACTCCGGACTAAATCCTGTAACTTCTGACTAGGAACAGTTGCTCAGTTACTCTCTCAAATGTGTTCCCACTTACAGGTTTTATGTCAATAGGAACGACTTCCTGTAAGTTCTGACTAAATCCTGTAAACTGGACTGCTATTGGAACAGACTAAATAAAACGATAGTAGCGATAGTACTAAAACTATCAATAGTTATTTCAAGTTACCAGACTATCGATACTATCGATAGTATCGTCGATAGTTTGACAGCTCTACTTCGCAGACATCGATGCATCATTCGCAACTCTATTTCCAAAACAATTTACTGCCGCAATTACCATAAACAAATAACACAGTTTCTTAAATATATAAATGTAAATTTATAAGACTTGGCGAAATTATTTTAGAATTGGAGTTGGCGCTGTAGCCTGAGAGCTGGCCAAATAAATCTTCTGCCTGTCATACAGCTCAGAAGTAACTTAAACCCCTAAAAAAATAAACAATTTATCGCACATTAAAAAAAAATGTTTATACTTTAGATATATGGCAGCTACTACAGTGCAAAAGTTTCATTGTGGCGAAGTATTCGTTTCCGCCAATCTTTGCGTGACCGTTGAGTGTAAGTGGTGCAATGAAAAATTTGGTGTCTATAGTAAATTTTTGGATCATATATTTGGAGAACACTTCGATGATTGGAATTCAGCAGAAGAAACAAAGCGCCAACTTCCAAATAAAGTGGAAACTGTTACCGACGAGGATTTTACTGAGTCTCCCAATGAAATTCAATATATAGAAATTGAACCCATTAGTTTGAACGAATATTCTTTCGAAGGTGACGAACAAGAGGAGGATTTCATAACAGAAAAGCTAGCGCCAATGGATGATGACGCGATAAATGTTTCAGAAAATATAACCGTAAGCTCATTTGATTATCAATGATCCATGTACATACATCGTATACTATTTTTCCAGGAGGAGCAAGAGGAGAAGCGTACTCCTAAAACTTCGCAACCCACTTGGCGACCGGTGCGAGTATTTGCGACTTATAAAAATTCGACAGCCATCGCGGACAAACGAAAATATAAATGTAAAATATGCGGCTTCGCTGTAACTGACATTCACAACTTACGCGGCCATGAGAAACGACACAGTAATATAAAGCCTTACACTTGCCTAAAATGTGACAAAGCATTCTATACGCGCACGGAATTGAACACGCATACTAGACGGCACAATGGCGAAAAGCCTTTTGTCTGTTCATATTGCGGTAAAAGTTTTATAACCGCTGCAATATTAACTAGACATGAAAAACGGCATCTTGGCAAGAGGGAACATAAATGTGATCAATGTGAGAAGAGCTTCTTTGATGGTTTTCAGCTTCGAGATCACGCTGTTGTGCATACCCAGGAACGTAATTATGAGTGCGAGACATGCAAAGCCAAGTTTACTCGCAAAAAAAACGCTCAAGACACATATGAAATTGCATGAAAATGCGTTAGGCTATCAATGTATCATCTGCCATATGCGTTTCAACCAGCGACCTACGTTGCTTTGGCATGTGAAGACTAAACATAGCGTACTGCGGTCAGATGCAGAAAGCAAAGACTCAATTACGGCTACTGATTCTATCGGAGAATCTAACGAGTCAAATTAATTTGTAATTGCATACGTATTTTTGTTGTATTAAAATAATTCAACACAAATAAAACGGGTCTTTAAATCAAAGGCTTTGTTCCGTGTTGCGTGAAACTGCGTTAGGCTATGAATGTATCATCTGCCATATGCGTTTCAACCAGCGACCTACGTTGCTTTGGCATGTGAAGACTAAACTGCGTGCAGATACAAAAAGCAAAGACTCAATTACAGCTACAGAGAATCTTACGAGTCAAATTAATTTGTAATTGCATGCGTATTGTTGTTGCATTAAAATAATTCCACACAATAAAACGAGTCTTTGTTCGACATGCTTCGCAACCTGGGTCCTGCAAAAATATTAAAGCTGGGTTATGCAAGACTTAGTCTTGACTTGCCTTACCTAGAAACTTAGGTCAGATTTTCGAAATTAAAAATGGCGGCTCCAATATGCTGACTAAATTTTATAATTTTTTTCATTTTCAGCGTAAACTCATATAAACAGGAAGTTTTCGAGGGCGATGATTTCGAATCTGATATCAGATTTTATTAATTCAAAATGGCGGATCCAATATGGCTGGCGAATTTTATAATTTTTTTCTTATTCACCAAAAACTTATATAAGAGGGCTTTTCGAATTCGATGATTTAAAATCTGAGGTGGGATTTTTGAAATTGAAAATGGCGGATCCAATATGGCGTTATCGGAAAAAAATCTTAGCTTAAACTTTTTTTAGCTTTTGCATTTTTCACCTACGTACTTGCAATTTCCTTTATGTAGTTGTTATATTCTTCGGATGTACTCCCTCTAATAATAGGTTCATTCCTTATCTTTTTGGACTAAAATCTGAAAAGTGTCAAAATGCCAGAGCGTAAGCAAAATGCGCTTACCAAAAGAGAATAACAGGAAAAGTAAAGGAACGCAAAAAACCAAATTTTTAGTCCAAAGAATGGCAACAACAAAGCTAACGTCAAATAAGTAGTCTGTTCCAATAGCAGTCCGGTTTACAGGATTTAGTCAGAACTTACAGGAAGTCACTCCTATTGACATAAAACCTGTAAGCGGGAACACATTTGAGAGACTAACTGAGCAAATGTTCCCAGTCAGAAGTTACAGGATTTAGTTCGAAGTTTTTTTTCCTGTAAGTTCATGAAAAGTGTCCGATCAGCTGATTTACATGTGCAAACAAAAACAGAAAGCAGTGAAAGCAAAGAACCTTATAAGTATGTTCCTTTGAACTTCGGACTAAAACCTGTGGAACTGTCAAACTACAATTTTACTCCCTCAAATAAGAGTAAAAGGAGAACAGATGCAGAAGTGCATAGGAACGCAAAAAGCACTATTTCCTATAAAAACGTCAGTCGGTTTGTTTACATGTCATTTGTACAACACTGATTTAGCTGAAATATCCTTAGGCTGAAAATAGCCTTAGGCTGTGTGCGAGTTTACCTAAATTTTAGTACCTAAACTAATATTCCACTGGGGACTTCCAGCACTGCTACAATTTAGGAAAACAGCTGCTAAAACTGCGAGTTCATGTTGCTTTTAATAAATACATATATCTATAAATAAATAATTTTGCGGCAGCTTTGGGACTATTTAACAATATAATAAATTTGCAACAGAAAAGGAGAATGTTCCATTCTAAAATCTGTCAAACGAAAACAAGTTTTCGCTGAAAACCACTTGAAAACTCACGTTCCACTCAATCCAATCGGTGTCTGCACTAGTTTTTTTTTGGATTATTTATCGAAGTGGAAGTCATATTTTATCATCTTTAATACGCCATTTCGGATTTATTGTTCTAACGACAGATAAATTAATATTTCATATCAATAATTGCATTAAAAACGATATTTCTTGCCCGCGCTTGATTAAAAAGGAAAAATATTTCTCATAATTTTATTTATTTGCAACAGCTGACGAGCGACGCACGCGAAAATTTGAGAGTTGGCCATCTTTTTGCTTCGTGTTGTCGAATTTTGGCTATGTGGACGGCTGCATTTGAGTTCATGTATTCATAGTCAGCTGTTGAAGCTTCGCCAACGCCAACGCAACGCCGAAGTTCTATGTGGAGGGCCTTTATCTGGCATCAGCTTAAATGTTTTCGATAATGAAAAACCATCGATTCTATCGATAATGCCATCGATAGTTTTCCAGCACTATTTAATCGGGAACTTTGATCCGGACGAGTAACAAATAATTATTTTCCAATGGACCACGTATCTGGAGAACACTTCGAGTATTTAAATAGACAAAAAAAAACTAAGCGCCAGCATCATAAGCAAGTGGCAACTGTTACTGAGGAGGAATTCGCTGAGTCTCCCAGAGGTATTGAATACATAGAAATTGAGCCCATTAGTTGGAACGAATATTCCTTGAAAGGTGAGGAACAAGAGGATTTGATAACAGACGATGACGCGGTGAATGTTACAGTAAGTATAACCGTAAGCACATTGATTACAGTAATGCATTTCGCACATTTGCTGCAGAGTCAATCCAAAAAATCAAAAGGTCAAGGAAAACCATGATTTAATAATTTTATTATTATTGAATCATGAAGGAAAACGGCTTTAAAGTTTAGAATTTACATACATATTTCACAGCTACGAAATTTTTGCACAACATGGAGCAACGGGTAGCGGACATTTCTGCATACTTAACTGGATTTTGAGTTATGACACTTGCAGGAAATGTGCGGTATATATGTACATTATATACACGATTCTTGCATCATATACTATCTTTCAAGGATGAACAAAAGGAGGAGCCCACTCCTAAAATTTCGCAAACTTCTCGGCGCAAGTTGCGAGCTTTAGCGACTTATAAAAACTCGACAGCCATCGAGGGAAAACGAAAATATAAATGTAGAATATGCGAGTACGCTGCAAATGACATTAGTAACTTGCGAGGCCATGAGAAACGACACAGTAATATAAAGCCTTACGGGTGCCTAAAATGTGACAAAGCATTTTATACGCGCACAGATTTGAACAACCATACCAGACGGCACAATGGAGAAAAGCCTTTTATCTGTTGTTATTGCGGCAATAGATTTGTAACCGCTGGAATATTAAATAAGCATGAAAAATGGCATCTTGGCAAGAGGGAACATAAATGTGATCAATGTGAGAAGCGCTTCTTTCACGCATCTCACCTGCGAAATCACACGGTTGTGCACACCCAGGAACGCAATTATGAATGCGAGACATGTCAAGCCAAGTTCACCCTCAAGAGATCGCTCGAGCTACATATGAAATTACATGAAAATGCGTTAGCTTATGAATGTATCATCTGCCATACGCGTTTCAACCAGCGATGTACGTTGCGTTCGCATATGAAGACTAAACATAAAGTACTGCGTGCGGATGCCGAAAGCAAAAACTCTGTTACAGATATTGATTCTATCGGAGAAGCTTGAAAGTCAAATTAATTAGTAATTAGTAAGCATTTATGGTAGCCTTGATTAAAGATTGTCGTATGTTTTTCGATAAGTTTTTGGAAATCTCTAGTGAAGTTTGGAATGCAGTTTCTCAGACACGCGAAGATAAATTCATATATGAATCGGTTCGTAATTGGGGCGCCAATCACGAATGAGAGAGCGAATTACGAATGGGAGAGCGAATCACTTGCATAGTACATTTACTGTGGGGAAGAAAAAGATTTTGGTTTTGTTTTTTTCGTAGTAAAACTGTAAACAAAGGATGAAAGAAATGTCAATTAACGGGCGGTGCGAACAGTTGACAGCCCACAATCCCAAAACTCTTTTTCAAAGTGTTTTCGTTGTCGGTCCGACATGGTATTATTTCAAATGTAAATATAAACAGTGCTTAAGAGGATGATTTGATGAGAAATAATTAGTCAAATGAACATATGGATGAACAATTTAAGTCCAGTGTATATTTTTTTTTTATTTTTATGACGGTGGGAAATATTCCCAATCAAAAAGAAAATTGCGCGTCAGAAAATGTAAAAATGGCGTAAGTTGCAAGTCTTTACTAGTTGTGCGTTAAATAACTTTTTCTGATAATTTTCTCTTCCTCTCAATTGCGTTGCAAGTACCACTGGAAAAGATTTTGAAAGTACCTAATGTCAAATGGTTGACAACCATGGTGAAACGAACACGATCCAGAAAATAAAGGTCGCGCCATTCGCGGACCGCTAACCCTCTCTTCGTCGATTTGACAGCTTCCACCCAATCGCTGACGTCATAATATACTTTTGTTTACATTCACTGTTGCCAACTTGATGCTTTTCGCACCAAATTTAGTGGGTATTCAAAACGCGAAAATTTTTGAGTTTTGTGCTTGGTGCGTTTTTGGTGCTTTTGTTTTTAGTTTGAAGACTTCAAATTAAAAAATCTTGAAAAAATTGAAGCAGAAATGTGAAGTGATAGCTGAGTTTGTTTTTTGCTTGCGTAACAGCTCAACCTAATATTAGGTTCGTTCGCGTAGCTGTTAATTGTTCATGTTTAACCAAAACTTACAAGTTTTTGCGTTCGCGTACGCAAAAAACTTGCAAAGTAGGGGAAATTGAGAGAGCAAAGTGACATTTCATTTTGAGGGGAAGCTGCTGGTTTCTGCTGGAAAAATTTTTGCCAACAGCAATTTGCCAACAGGAAAACAGCTGATCAAAAACAGCTGGTTGGCATTTACGCAAATCACAAAATTGAATTTGATGGTTTGGAAGTTAAAAATTACAAAATGCGACTAATTAAACTTGTAAGAAATAAGTAGTTATTTGTTTAATCAATAAACTGTGTCAGTATAACACTTTGTGATAACTTTTCGTACGTTTTAAATTTTACACTTTTGAATGTAAACAAAAATTATATCAGCTGTTCGTCTAACTTGCAAGTTTCTGCAAATTTTCTGTTCGCGTACTATTTTGGATATTTCTCTCTTGCAAGCGAACAGATGACATTTCGCCGGAATTTGGCAGTTGGTTGGTTTCTGCTGGAGATTTTAAACGAACGCACCTATTAGTTGCGTTCGCGTAGCTGTTAATTGTTCATGTTTAACCAAAACTTACAAGTTTTTGCGTTTGCGTACGCAAAAAACTTGCAAAGTAGGGGAAATTTAGAGAGCAAAGTGACATTACATTTTGAGGGGAGCTGATGGTTTCTGCTGGAAAAATTTTTGCCAACAGCAATTTGCCAACAGGAAAACAGCTGATCAAAAACAGCTGGTTGGCATTTACGCAAATCACAAGGTGCAATCCCGTATTCCTCGGACTCGGACTACACCTTTTCCAAGAGTACTTCAGAAAGCGTCAAATGTATTTCAGAAACTGTAAAATGTACTTCAGAATAGTCAATTGTACTTCAGGAAACGTAAAATGTACTTCAGAATGGTCAATTGTACTTCAGAAACCGTAAAATGTATTTCAGAACAGTCAACTGTACTTCAGAATAGTCAATTGTACTTCAGAAACCGTAAAATGTTCTTCAGAATAGTCAATTGTACTTCGGAAACCGTAAAATGTACTTCAGAATAGTCAATTGTACTTCAGAAACCGTAAATTGTACTTCAGAAACCGTAAATTGTACTTCAGAAATCGTAAAATGTACTTCAGAAGACGAAAATTCGTACACATTGTAATATATTATAGTGATTTTAAATATATTTACTTTTTAATATATTTACAAACTGCTTCTATGGACTTGTAATTTGGAAAATATATTAAAAAAATAAACATTTAAAAATACTATTTTATATACCATTTAAATAATTACAATATGTATGTAGTAACTTTCGTCTTCTGAAGTAAATTTTACGGTTTCTGAAGTACAATTTACGGTTTCTGAAGTACAATTGACTATTCTGAAGTCATTTTACGGTTTCTGAAGTACAATTGACTATTCTGAAATACTTTTTACAGTTTCTGAAGTACAATTGACTATTCTGAAGAAAACTTTACAGTTTCTGAAATACTTTTTACGGTTTCTGAAGTACAATTGACTATCCTGAATTACATTTTACTTTTTCTGAAGTACAATTTACTATTCTGAAGTACATTTTACTATTTCTGAAGTACAAATGAGTATTCTGAAGAGCATTTGATGCTTTCTGAAGTACTGTTGGAAAAGTTGTAGTAAAACTGTCAAAAAATAAAAATTCGCTCAGAGCGAGAGAGTAACATTGAAAAGTACGGGATCGCTTTCTAGTAAAAAATGGTAACTTCTGTCAACTTCAACATAGCCTCCAAATCTTGGTTGTAAATTTTTGCTTATTTTGTATGTAAACACACTCAGCTCACACATGTAAATAACCAAAAATACTTTCAAATTCATTAGAATCGACTTAAACAAGTAATTAAATATGATTCAACATGAATTAGCAGAGTGCGCTTTTATTTTGTTTACAATTTGGTTGCCAGACCGTGTGACAGGGCCCTATGAATGTCAATTAAATGGGACTACCCAAGGCACATATTTAATATGCCTTGGAACAATCTTCTTTTTTGTATCATGTCTAGTATGAAAGGAACGATGTCGACTTTTTCACTTTTCTAGTAGATATATCGAGGATGTATCGCCCAGCAAAACATCGATGCATCGTTTGCATTCCTAACCATATTTGAAGAAGCAGAAGTTCACACATTAGGAATATGGCTGTCGCTGCAGTGCAAAAATTTCACTGCGGCGAAGTATTTGTTACCACCAATTTTTGTATGATTCTGGAGTGCAAATCGTGCAATGAACAATTTGGTGTTTACACAACATTTTTGAATCACATATTTGAAAAACACTTCGATGATTGGAATGCATCAGAAAAGTCAAAACGCCAAAAACCTAAAAAAGTGGCGACTATTACTGAGCAGGAGATTCCTAAGCTTCCACCAGATGATCAATACATAGAAATCGATTCTAAGACTTTAAAGGAATTTTCGTTGGAAAGTGACGAACAGGATTTGATAACAGAAGAATTAACGCCAATGGGTGATGATGTAGTGGTTGTAGAAGAAAGTATAATCGTAAGCTCTTAACCTTTGCATTATTAATTATCTTATTTGTATACATACATGTATGTATGTACGTACACAATAAGTACATACGTAGACTGTATATATTTTCGTAAAATATTTTTCCAGGAAGAGGACGAGCGCCCTCACAAAACTATAAAGCAAACTCCGAGACAGTTGCGGGCTTATGACTCCACAGCCTCCGGCAGCAAAGGAAAATATAAGTGCAGGATTTGCGGTTTCGCAGGTTCCGGCGCACATAACCTGCGTGGCCATGAGCTACGGCACACTAATATAAAGCCTTTCACCTGTCTAAAATGTGATAAAGCATTCTATACAAGCACAGAATTGAATGCACATACCCGGCGGCACACTGGCGAAAAGCCGTTTGTCTGTGCTTACTGTGGCAAAAGCTTCACAACAGCTGGGATGTTAACTAGCCATGAAAGACGTCATGGCCAACGGAAACATAAATGTGACCAATGTGAGAAGAGCTTCTTTGAGGCTTCTCACCTACGAATTCACGCTGTTGTACACTCCCAGGAACGCAATTATGAATGCGAGACATGCCACGCCAAGTTTACTCGCAAAAAAACGCTAAGGACACATATGAAATTGCATGAAAATGCATTAGGCTATGAATGTATCATCTGCCATATGCGTTTCAACCAGCGGCCTACGTTGCTTTGGCATGTGAAGAGTAAACATAACGTACTTCGAGCAGATGCGGAAATCAAAGCCTCTGTTAAACCTATTGATCTTATCGGAGAGCTTTACTAGCAAAATTAGGTTTGTTGCATGATACAAAAAAGAAGGTAGTTTTAAATAAATAAAAAATTAATAATAAATTTGGAGTATTTTAGATATTGCATACGGTAGCACGAAATGTCACAATATACTTAATTGTCAGGTTGTTAATATGGCGACGAAAAAGTGACAATGGAACTACCTTCTTTTTTGTATCATGGGTTTGTTGTATAAAATAAATCAACATTGAAAGGAAAATCTACATACATCTCAGTTATTGCATAAATATAAAGAGATTAAATAGAAAATAAATATGAAAAACTAGAGTATAAAAATATACACGCAGTGGTGGAAAAATAATAGGAACACATTTTAACAAATTTTTCCTATTTTTCTTTGGTTTATTCAGTATTTTTAATTATGGCTCATTTTCTAGAAAAAGTTTTAAGTTGCTAAAAATTGCGTTGATTTTTAGAAATTATTTCCATGCATTTTCTTCCATACACACTATAAATACATTTTTTATATTTATTTTTCTTTTTGCATGGAAAAAATACTTCCCTACTTGACAAATTTAATAGTAAATAATTATAGTAGAAGCTCATATTTAGTAAGTTTAGTTAGCAAACCATTCAAACGTTTTGAAAAAAAAGTTTCTTCGTCCTTTTCAAAATTTTCGGTACGGTACGTGGTATTGCATTTGGCGGATACGAGGTATAGCGCGATGAACGACGATATGTATGCACCACATACCTTCAAAGGTAATACCTGGATTATAATGGAAGTAACGGAACGGAGTGAACTGTCACTTAATTATCTATTGTTTGGGCAATGTAAAGAGAAAAATTCCCACCAAAAGGTAAATAATCTTCAAAGCAACTTTCAAAATTACTGCCAGACTGAATACTGTGAAGTGAATTATTGTGATACGATATTGATTAACTACATATTATAGTTGCGATCCCGTACGAGTCCGGACTAGTCAGAAATAGTCAGAATCAGTCAGATTTTACAGGAAATCGATCCCGTACTCGGTTCTCTGACTATTGAGAGGACAAAGAAGAGAGTAAATACAGTTCTCTCTCTGTCAAAAGTTACCAGTTTTAGTCCAAGAATTTTTTGCTGGTAAATTCTGGTAAATGTGTCAAACGATCAGCTGTAGTGTTTTTGGCAACCAAATTGTAAACAATAGAAAAGTTCAATCTGCTAATTCATGTTGAAAGGTATTTAATTACTTGTTTAAGTGGATTCTAATAGATTTGAAAGTATTTTTGGTTATTTACATGTGTGAGATGAGTGTGTTTACATACAAAATAAGCAAAAATTTACGATCAAAATTTGGAGGTTATGTTGAAGTTCTTACGGTAAGTTAAGTTTTAACTAACCGCCAACATAGTTTCTCTTATAACAGGTTGGCCAAAATATTAAGTTAAGTTACGAAAATTAAGTCTAGACTAACTGAGCTTTAATATTCGCGGCTTGCGCTTTTGTACGTACGCCGTCGAATTTTTTCTGCGTCCCCGAAATTAGCTTGCATGCGTTTGTATTTGATTTCATTGAGCGAAACGTCAAATCAAAATGTCACGCAGGACAAGAATTGAAAATTGAGTTAGCTTCATACGCACGCCGTTCAATTTCGGTTGGCTCCATACAACTTGTATGTGCATGAGAAATTTTTGACAGTAAATCGGCGGCGTGCGTGAATATTAGGTTAGCCTGTAAGCCATTGTAGAAATAAAAAAATTAAAAAGTTTTCGTTGGTAGTGGGTATAATTCAAAATAAAGTGAAAAACTATCTCCACAAGTGGTCAATTGTGCGTGTAAATTCGTCCTAATATCATATTCTGACCCATGAACCAATTAGAACAGATCTGACCAATTGAGAAAAGAGTGTGTGACGTTCGTAATTTTGAAGTTTGCTATTTCTGTTTTGCTCCTTTGTTTATGTGTATATTGTCGGTAGTTTATTTCAGTGATTTTTAAGTATTTTTTTTGTGTAAAAGTAATTAAAATGAAGTGCGCGGTGATTGGATGCAAAAACACATACAAAAATAATAAATTGGTTATTACAAACATGTGCACAACATTGCTTGCATTTTTTCTTTATGCTTCGTCTTAATATTCTTTGTTTACTTTTCACAGAAAATAACATGGCGCCGAAATTACAAACGTCAGCCAGAAAATTACTTTTTTTCTTTGCTTCATCTAGTCAGATCTTGTGTAGTTGGATCATGATTCTGACCGACATCGAAAACATGTTTTCGTTGCTAATACCATGTTCTGACCGACAACGAAAACACTTTGAAAACGAGTTTTGGAATTGTGGGCTGAAGGCTGTTCACACCGGCTGTTAGTGTTTTCGTTGACATTTCTTACATCCTCTCATTGCAGTTTTGCTACACAAAAACAAAACGAAAATGCTTTTCCCACATTTTCTTTTCATTAGCAACCTCTTACTTTCATTCTTATTTTACTTTGGCCAGCCAATTAACAATAAATACGAAATAGCGTATTAAACTTGATAAAATATGACTTCCACTTCGATAAATAATCGAAAAAAACTAGTGAAGACACCGATTGGAACGTAAGTTTTCAAGTAGTTTTCAGCGAAAACTGGTTTTCGTTTGACAGATTTTACATGGACGAAAACACATGTTTTAGGTCGAAAACTAGTTTTAGCAACGAAAACATGTTTTCGATGTCGGTCAGAACATGGTATTAAACTGGCTTTCGACCTAAACCTTGTGTTTTCGTCCATATAAAATCTGTCAAACAAAAATAGTTTTCGCTGAAAACTACTTGAAAACTCACGCTCCACTCATTCCAATCGGTGTCTGCACTGGATTTTTTCAATTATTTATCGAAGTGGAAGTCACAGCCTAATTCTGAATACTCCCGGGGAGTTTGTTCTCCAGGAATTTGTATCTCCCGAGAAAGAAATCCTCAAATAACTACCAGGGAGAAGCATTTTTCCCGAAAATTTGGGAGGAGGAAACTCAAACTTCAAAAAAGCTGTTTGACACTTTTTTTTACAGCTCAACTCCACCATTTAATATAAAAAATCCTCACGGAATTTTTACTCATGATAGGAGGAAAGAGAAAAGAGAAAACTCCCAGAGAGTTTCAGAATCAGCCTGTTGTTTTATCATCCACGCCACTTCAGATTTATTGTTGATTGGCTGGCCAACTTAAAATAAGAAACAAGAAAAAGGTTAATGAAAAGAAAATGAAATAAAAGGATTTTTTGTTTTTTGTAGCAAAACTGTAAACAAAGGATATAAGAAATGTCAACGAAAACACTAACAGCCGATGTGAACAGCCTTCAGCCCACAATCCCAAAACTCGTTTCAAAGTGTTATCTTTTTTTTTTTGGTGTAGCGTTTGTTATGGCCGGTGAATATGTTTTCGTTGTCGGTCAGAACATGGTATAAAGAACTTGCGAATTAAATCCATCGAGTTTAAGTATCGACCACTCGCATATTTATCGTTTTTCGCTCAACTATAGGCGAGCAAAAAAAAACCTATTTTCCAAAACAATTGGCCGCTGGAATTACTATAAACAATTATATCCAATATTTTGGTATATCACATTTGAAGAAGCAAAAGTTTATACATTAGAAATATGGCTGCTGCTACAGTGCAAAGATTTCACTGCGGCGAAGTATTTATTACCACCAATTTTTCTATGATTCTGGAGTGTAAATCGTGCAATGAACAATTTGGTGTTTACACAACATTCTTGGATCACATATTTGAAAAACACTTCGATGATTGGAATGCATCGGAAAAGTCAAAACGCCAAAAACCTAAAAAAGTGGCGACCATTACTGAGCAGGAGATTCCTAAGCTTTCAACTGATGATCAATACGTAGAAATTGATTCCACAACTTTGAAGGAATTTATGCCGGAGAGTGAAGAGGACGATTTTATAACAGAAGTATTAGCACCAATGGATGATGATGCAGTGGTTGTTGAAGCAAATGAAATCGTAAGCTTTGCATATTCCATTGTTATTTATCTTATATGTAAGTACTATGTACATAAAAAAATTTTCCAGGAGGGCCAACCCACTCCCAAAACTACAAAACCAGCTGTGCGACAGGTGGGTACTTCGGTGACTAGAAAGGATTCTACAGCCTCTGGCAGCGAACAAAAATATAAGTGCAGAATTTGTGGTTTCGCAGTTTCCGGCGCACATAACCTGCGTGGGCATGAACAACGGCACACTAATGTAAAGCCTTTCACATGTCTCAAATGTGACAAGGCATTTTATACCCGCACAGAACTGAATACACATACTAGGCGGCACAATGGCGACAAGCCTTTTGTTTGTGCTTATTGTGGCAAAAGTTTCATAACAGCTGGAATGTTAACTATGCATGAAAAGCGGCATCTTGGCCAGCGCCAACATAAATGCAATCAGTGTGAGAAGAGCTTCTATGAGGCTTTTCACCTACGAAATCACGCTGTTGTACATTCCCAGGAACGCAATTATGAATGCGAAACATGCCAGGCAAAGTTTTCTCGCAAGATAACATTACAGACCCATATGAAATTGCATGAAAATGCATTACGCTATGAATGCGTCATCTGCCATATGCGTTTCAATCAACGGCCTACGATGCTATGGCATGTGAAGAGTAAACATAACGTTCTGCGTGCTGACGCCGATAACAAAGGCCCTGCAAAAGGTTCTAATCCTATCGGAGATGCGTATGAGTGAAATTTCTTACATATTTGTATCAATAGGATTAAGTGATTCACATAGTAGTCGGGTTGAGTCTACATGATTGGAGCGAAATAGATGTATATATATTTGTCCAAGGACTGTCGTACATGGGGAAATTTAACAATAAAATAAAAACATTAAAGGAAGGAAAAACGGAATTGTAACTGTTTGTACATACATATGTACATATGGCTCATTTACTTCAAAACTGTGATAACTCAAAAAAGCCAAACTCGAGGAAAACGGATTTTTAAATTAAATAGACCAAAAGATGGCGAGAACCACAAACTGATCCTTGAATCGCCTGTTTGTATAAATTATTGATTGCAGAACAAAACAGATATGCTTCCATAAGTATCTTCCAGTTCATTGATCAGGTGTGAGCAGGAGTGTTACAAATTAATATAAAAGTTACAAACGGTAACACAAAAACAATTGATTAAAAATTGACAGTTAAACATTTTATTTTCCTTTACACAATAAAGGTCATACAAGGACCAAGTACAGGGTTAGTCAACATTAGGTCCATTCCTTATCTTTTCTGACTAAAATCTGGAAAGTGTCAAGATGCAAGAGCGTAAAAAATGGTCACAAATAAATATTAGGTACGTTTGTTAAAATCTCCAGTAAAAAACATTCAACAGCAAAATTCCGGCGAAATGTCACCTGTGTTCTCACAAGAGAAAAATATCCAAAATAGTACGCGAACAGGAAATTTGTGTTCTCACAAGAGAAAAATATCCAAAATAAAGAATGTACACGAAAAAAACTGGTCGCACATAACCAAGCATAGCTCGGTTAATCATAACATTAAAATAAAAATCGGTAGACACTTAAAAAGCTGGAAGCATTTTCCACCTTACTGCATCATATCTTTTTAGTAACAAAAATCAGTGTAGAAACGAGGACCAAGAAAGAAATCGATCGCGAGTTAATATTGCGCAAAAAGCTGGAAAATCCCAGCATGTTCCATAACGACATCGCAAAAAAGCTAAAATTTCCAAAGTCTACCGTTACTTATGTGCTTAAAAAATACAATGAATGTTTATCTTTAAAAAGGAACCCTGGTAGTGGCAGAAAAAAAGGATTTGCTTGCGAAATTAAGGCAAAGGAAGTGTTATCTGCTTTTAAGAAAAATCCTGGACTTTCGGTAAGAGATGTCGGCAAAAAATTAAACATGTCGTCTTCGTATATACAAAAAGTATGCAAAACAGCAGGACTACGTTCTTACAAAGTGAATGCAGCACCTAATCGCAACGGTAAGCTAAATTTGTTGGCGAAACAACGTGCTCGGAAATTGTACGACAGTCTCATACAAAAATTTGGCTGTATTGTTATGGATGACGAATCGTACGTAAAAGCCGATTTTAAACAAATCCGGGGCCGCGAATTTCACACTGCAAATAAAAGAGGCAATGTTGCAGATAAATATAAAAACAAAAAGTTTGACAAATTTCCCAAAAAGTTTCTCATTTGGCAGGCAATTTGCCAATGCGGCTTCAAAAGTGATCCTTTTGTAAGCACTGGTACAATTAACCAAGAAATTTATGTTAAGGAGTGTCTGCAAAAGCGACTTTTACCTCTTATACGGCCTCATAAAGATCCAGTGCTTTTTTGGCCTGATCTCGCGATATGTCATTACGGAAAAATGGCTTTAGGATGGTAACATAGAAACAAAGTGTATTTTGTAGCAAAAGAGGTGAATCCACCTAATTGTCCAGAGCATCGGCCGATCGAAACCTACTGGGCCGTTATGAAATCCAAACTTCTTAAGACCCACAAAGCTGTAAAAAACGCACAACAATTCAAAAATAAATGGCAGCTGGTTTCCAAGGAAATCACTGAAACTTCTGTGCAAGGGCTAATGAAGGACATAAAGTCAAAATTGCGATCGTTTGCTTATTACAAAGAGAATTAACTCTTTTTTAACGAATTTCAATAAAACTAAGTTTAGATGTAAATATATGTAAATATCGTTGAATTCCATTAATATATTTATGTTTTAGAACGTTTTAACTGTGACCAGTTTTTTTCGTGTACATTCTTTAGAAAATAAACCGAAACTAGTAATTTATTTCAGAAAGAGCTATCAAGAGAGCTACGAATTTCGTGTAATCTATGTATGTGGCAAAATAAAAAAATTAACTATTTATTTCCTCCTCTTCCCTTTTTTTTTACTTATCTGACAGGTTTTACAATACTGTGGTCAGCGTAGCTGAAACTGGACATACGGCGGCTATTTTTTGATGAAAAAATTACATCGACGTCGACGTTAATAACCATAATAGGGCCGAATAGATTATTTAATGCATTTTTTGTATTTGTGACCACGTAAATC